AAGATCTTAAAAATTTGAAATGGAACATTTAATTGACCTAGTTGTCCGATATCCAAAATCTAACAACATGGTAAGATTCAGCATATAAAAAAACACCAAAAATTTAAATTTTAGTTGAAATCAAACAAAGTTTAATTTTGGACTCTTCAAATCTTAATATGGACTGATTTGAAAACAGGGCCCAAAATAAAAATCTAAATGCACAATAAGATTCAGCCATATCATAGAGCCGCAATAATTCAGTTTTTGATGAAATCAAACAAAGTCTAATTTTGGACCCTTTGGATCTCTATTGCGCAATACTGTGCTGTTGCACAATACTTAGTTAGTCTGTTATATATAATAATTTACACACCCTGTTTGGTGTGTATCTCCTGCCATATCAGTATTTGTTGCTTTTATATATAAATCAGAAATAATCAATGTAAAAATGGAAAATGTTTGGAAAAAAAACCCAAAAAATTATGAAAAAAAAATAATCCACCCAAAAAATTTGTCCCCCTCCACAATAAAAAATTTTTTTGAAAAAATTTGAAATTTTGAAAAATCTTTTAGAAAATAAATGTGGATAGTGTCCACATGTGGACACAGATGATGCCCCTGCTTGCATATCATATAGTTATAAAGGGACATAACTGAAGAATGGTAAAAGTGACGCTACCCAAATTTGAACTTGATCGGAGTTTTGTGGTAATAAGCATTGTGTGTAAGTCTCATAACATTTGGTTGAGGCTAACTTAAGTAGAGAACAGAAACTAAAAATTCAGCAATTTTTCTATATGTAAACATGCATAACTCTAGAACGGTTGTGTATAAGTTTTATAACATTTGGTTGAGACAAACTAAAAAATTCAGCAACTTTTATGTTTATAAAGGGACATAACTCAAGAATGGTAAAAGTGTCGCCACCAAATTTCGTACTTAATCTGTATTATGTAGTAATAAGCATTGTGTATAAGTTTCATAACATTTGGTTGAGGCAAACTAAAGTTAGAAAACGGAAACAAAAAATTTGTACTTGATCTTAGTTTTGTGGTAATGAATATTGTGTATAGGTTTCATAATGTTTGGTTGGGGCAAACTTAAGTTACAGAATGGAAACTAAAATTTTTGCAATCTTTCGATTTATAAAGGGGCATAACTCAATAACGGTTAAAGTGACACTACCCAAATTCAACTTGATCTGTGTTTTATCAGTGGAAGTCATAATCAAACATTGCATTGTATAAAGCATTGATTGTAGTTGATTCAACTATAATCATGGACAAAGGAAGATAACTCCAATTTTAAAAATTACTTGATATTTAGAAGAAAATAAAAATTTTGCAATTTTTCCATGGAATGGAAACCAATTTTGAGACGTACAGATGTACGTACAGACGGACAAGGGTAAAACTTAATGCCCACTCCGCTACAGCAGGAGGCATAAAAAAATTCCCCCCCCAATTTTTATTGAATTGGTGAAGATTACTTTCTTTGCAGGAAAAATGTACAATTTCAGAGTTTCATAAACTTTAACACAAGTTATCATCTGGAAACTTGAAAAATGCTTGTTTTTTGCCCCTTATTTCTAAACGTTTGGGGCAATTTACACCAAACTCAATCCCAGCCTTTCCTTTGTGGTATGGAACCTTGTAGTACAATTTCAGAGAGATCCATACACTTAAACACAAGTTATTGTCTGGAAACTAGAAAAATGCTTGTTTTTGGCCCCTTTTTTGCCCCAAATTCCTGAATGTTTGGGGCGATTACCCCCAAACTCAATCCCAGCCTTCCCTTTGTAATATGGAACCTTGTGGTACAATTTCAGAGAGATCCATACACTTACACACAAGTTATTGTCCGGAAACTACAAAAATGCTTGTTTTTGGCCCCTTATTCCTAAACTGTTGGTACCATAACCCCCAAAATCAATCCCAACCTTCCCTTTTGTGGTATTGAACCTTCTGGTAAAATTTCATAGAGATCCATTAACTTAAACTAAAGTTATTGTCCGGAAACCAAAATTTGCGGTCGAATAAAAACTGACCAAAACACAATTACTTAACATTGACCAATGAACCATGAAACAGAGGTCAAGGTTAGATGGAACCTGCCAGACTGACATGTACCCCTTACAATCGTTCCATACATCACCTAGTTGACCTACTGTTTATAGCATCTGAGAAAAGGACCTAATCACATAACTTTAACCTTAATCACTGCTACATAAAATGCAGTTAAGGTCAGGTGAATTCAGTTCGACCGATGTGTAGACGTTGCAAGGAAACTCATATTAATGACAGAGTTCAAATGTCCCCCGTTGCACATATTTTATCTGTTTAAGGTCAATAACTTAAAAAAAATTTTTTTAAACTTTTTAAAATTATCTTAGAGAGTTGAAGACTTGAGAGCAATTTCTGATATACTTAAAATTTCCAAGGGGCAGATTTCATTAAAAATATTTTATCGGCAATTATTTTCGAAATTGTCCATGACATTGCTGATATTATGATATGAATTTGATAAAAATCTGGCAAAAATTGTAAATGTGAGAGCACTTACAATGCAAATTTCCATATGATTAATATTTTTAAGGGGCATAACTCTTATAAAAATAATTCATCGGCACTGATTTTCAAACTTGTCTGAGACATTGCTGATATAAACCTATGATATTAGTCTTATAAAAATCTGGCAAGAGTTGTACATGTGAGAGCGCTAACAAGATCGGACAGATAGACAGATGGATGGACGCCTGGTATTTCTATTTCCCAATGCAACGCATTGCACGGTGGACAATAAGTGAGAAATTCAAATGACAAAAAATCTATAATTTTTTTTCAAGCAGTCACTGAACCATGAAAATGAGGTCAAGGACAATGGACATATGACAGACGAAAACTTCGTAACATAAGGTATCTGCATACAAGGTATGAAGGATCCAGGTCCTCTACCTTCTGAAATATAAAGCTTTATACAAATATTCTAATATGACGTTCTTTTTAAGCTTTGGAAACAAAGCCATGTTCTAATTCCAATAAAATGTGGGCTGCACGTGATTGACGTCACAATTGAAATTGCAACATCAGCTGTGTTTTGAACAACACCGGAAATCAAAATGGACATTTGTGTTGGTGTTTCTCATTAGGAAATTAAATGAAATCATTCTAATAGTAAGTTTACATGTATCTGTTCATTTTTTTATCGTCGAACAGTTGATTTTCAATAACATTTTGACTTCATCAAATCAAAATGGATGCCTTTCGAATGCATATTATAGGTCTGCTTGGAAATACAAAAGTTCTAAATTTTCCTATCAGAATCTAAACAAGCATTCTGAGAGTATTGCATGGCAATACATAGTCCCCTACCGGTTAAAAATTCATTGTACTGGAACAATATGCTAACTTGATCTATAACTTGTCATGGTGTAAAACATATAACAAATATCAAGTCAATATCTTTAAGCATGGCGAAAAAAAGTGTGGAAAACTTATTATTTAAGTGAATTTTCTAATTCCAAGGACCATTGCTCTGCACAAAATCATCCGAACGGAAATTCAAACTTGATCTGTAACTTGGCATGATAAAACTATATACCAATTATCAAATCCATATCTTCAAGTGACGAAAAAAAGTGAAGAAAACTGATTATTTGAGTGAATTTTCTGAGTCCAAGGACCATAACTGTGCACAAAATCATCAGACCGCAACAAAATTTGAACTTGGTCTGTAACTTGTCATGATAAAACTATATACCAATTATCAAATCAATATGTTCACACATGACGAAAAAAAAGTGTGGAAAACTGATTTGCCGGACTGATGGACGGACGGAGTGCAAACCAAAAGGCATTATTTTTGTCAACATTTTACACCTTGCTTACACACGGTATAAAGATATCGACAAATTTAATGTCTTCCCATGTTAAAATGAGCATAGAGCATGGCATGAAAGAATCATTTCTTAAGTTTACATCACCGCCGCTGGATAGTTATCCCTATGTCTAGCATTCTGGGACTTTTGTCAGAAATCAGATGAGAACTGTAGGTTTGAGGGCTTTTACAAACCAGACTAGTTAACTATTGGTTTTACATTTATTCTAAAGAAAATTAGCGTTCACAATTAGTATGTTTAGAGTTGGGTGTTATATAGACTGTAAATTCAGAGATGTTTGTGTGCATTAATTATTGCGATTTTTTAAGAATGGACAAAAATGCAAGATTAAGTATTGAGAATTCAGGAAAATTTCCGTATAGATATATATATATCAAATATAAGAATACAAGTTTTTATTATTTTGATAGTTACCAGGTTGCATTATTCGCATTTATAAAAACCTCGCAATAATTTCTAAATCTACTGTAGCTGAAATACAAGTTTGATATTTTCTGTTATCAAGAACAAAATGTATTGATTTGCACTTATCCTACCCAATGTTATTTTTAAATGTGCTTTTGTTATTGGTTTTTATTAGTTGAAATTTAATAATGTCACCAAATTTCCTTTCTGTTATTCTGATTTAGTCTATGTTGGCAAGAAAAAAAAATTGTATGTCTCCTACAAAAAAACCCACAAGTTTTTTGGATCTCCAGAAAAAAATATGACAATACTTGACCACATTTTGTTTAAATTCTTCAAGATATAGATACTACTGTAGAACTTGTAATAGTCATCAAATTATGTAGCAGTAAAATCTATGTATAAGAATAATGTCACATAAACACACTGGCATCATTAAAGCATCTGTAAAAACAAAGGTGTCTTGGCTGTGTAACCTTATCACAAACTAACAAGGGTGTTGACATTTATGCTGAAAACCAATATCTATGTCTTACTTTCCTGGAATTAAAGTTTAAACAAATATAAGAAGATACCAAAAGTGTTAATTAAAATCATAGTTCAAGATTGAGAACAACACAGCCAAAAAAAAAATATCATAGTCCACAAAAAAATAAGACAAAAACAATACTTTGAGAACCAAGAATCCTGTTAAATAAAATAACAAAGTAGTATATGACTGTTCCTGTGAGATTTATTGATGAGACATATGAGAACTTTACAAAATGGATATTTACATTATACAAACACAATACTGGTGGGAATAATGGTACTTTATAAATAGAATTTGTTAAAGATATGTACACTCATCTGGAATTAAAAAGATGACACCGTCAGATGGACAATGTCACCATTTAATTAAAAAAAAAAACCTATTTTTTTCTGAAATATATGCATTCAAATCTAATTAACTTATATATGTGTAAACGAAAACATAGGAATGAACCAGGTGACAATGTAATTATAATGTACAATATAATAAACAGATCTTGTAAGAATATTACAAAATTGCTATTTGTTATACAAATTTTAACAATTTAGTGTCACCTTATCAAAAGACATTGAAGTAACTTTATTGCAATGTGTTCACTTCTTTGAGTTATCTTGTGGAGTTAAACACCAATTAATCAATCAATCAATTTGAGTTATCTCAACCTTCTCTTTTACAAGATAAACTAAATATACAAATACTATCAAAGGTTTAAACTCACAAATGCCTTGGTCTTTATAATCTAATATTACAATTCTATTGGAGATGACAGCAATATATATAATAGAGGCAAGCTTTAAATATGCATATGTGTATGTCATGGAGTAGTTATATTATCTTGTAGTAGATCTACAATCAATTATTCTCTATACACCAATCACACTCAATAATATATAGATCACCTAAATATTGCACACATCCACATTTATATATCTTTTACAAGCAATATTTACACATTAAAACAAGGTGTATCTGTTAACATATACTATTATATCACATTCAAACATTAATTTTCTTCTTTCATTCAAAACTTTGTGAAAAAAGGAAAGATGCAACATTGATAAAAAATGCATTTCCATTTAACTAACAAAACTGGTAAAGAAAAAAAACTAGATTACTATTTGACTTGTGAAGAAGTTAAGAAGTTTAAACAATTGAAGGTATTTACTGTGTACTTGAAAATCAAGGTATTTGTCAGTCATTTACAAAAAATATCTTGCACTGTATTTTAGCAGTTTTATTGTTGTAATGCAAACAGAATAAAAGAGCAGATTTGTACATTCTGTTATCATAAAAAAATGTAGCTTTACCATTTCAGAAACTGAAGGATTATAGGTAATGTCATTGTTTGTACAACAGCCAGAGACCATATCAACATCAAACTCGAAATAACTTTGCAATATTGGTTAGGTATTCAATGTTCTGATCACAATATTTTTATCTGAAAGATTACCATGGAATCAATCAGTATCTGCAAATTGAATGATTAGCAGAATATGAAGTATTATAATCTAACATTGAATACTTTGATGCTAACAATACACTTTTTGAAACATTTAAAAAAAAAACCTACCGTATACTAAAACATGATTCTGAAAGTCTTCAATAAAAACAGTGTGTAAATCCTCAAAACCCCTTAAAGAAACCTGGCCTCAACATAATAAAAGAACAAGGACACTTATTCCATTTCACAACCAAATAATAATTGTTTCTATCTTTGTAGATATGGACAGTAAGCAAAGGCTGTGGAGTGTTTTCTCTCAGGGATATGTCTAAAAGACAAACAAAACACAATAGCACCATAGTGTTTTTGTACATAAAATAAATATTGTTATTAAAAAGTAAAGCTAAAAATACAGTTTTCAAGAATAAATAAATCAATTTTGTTGTTTTGTTAACAATTAAATTAATGTAAATTGCAGATAGACATGGAATGAAAATTCTCTTATCAAAACATTTGTTTGTTCTTTACCAAACCATGACACTTTGACAAGTCATAGCATATTGTGTTTCAGAAGTATTGGTAAAATTTTTTAACCTGTTTAACTTGTTTGACTTGTTTGATAAAGCTGTCAAGTCAGAAATAGGAGACTGGAGACAAGTAATAAAATAACCAAAGTTTCCGTGGTATGTTTATGCTAAAACAAGATCAAAATTTGAGCATATTTCAAATGGAAAATTTACAACTTTAATTATAAGAATTAAGTATAAAAAATATTTAGTAAAATCAGAATAATAACATTTTAATAATGTCCAATAATGAAGTCATTAGATTTAAAACAATGCCCAGATATGTGAGCTATCAGCTTTTTTTCAATCTAGTTTTATCAATAACATCTAATAAATTTTTGGAGTCAACAGCCAATACATGGGCAGCTTTGAGCATTCCTTTTCTGTATTCAGAGTCCACAGTGGTCAAGGCATACTGCTGGGCGAGTTTCATCGAACTTATTAACGCAGCCATGTCTGTTGATAATACCTTTTGTGACATCTGTACCTACAGAATGAAGGAAATGTAAGATTAAATATTCAAATGAACATATTATAGTGTAATTTTCAGTGGCTTATTTCTCCAAAGTTAACTTTGTGAATACATTGATTTGCTAAGGCAAACAAATGGAACTTAACTGTTTTCTAAACAAGTTTTTTTTAACCATTTATGAAAAGTTAACTGTCCTTGATTATTGACAATTTCAATAAGACTTTAAAACTGACAGATTTATCATTTTAGCAAAAGAAGGCATGACTTTTGGCAAACATGACTACTTCAACCTAGGCCCCATAAAAATAAATCTGAGACAATATGTAGTAATTCCATTGGATATTTGTTTTGTATAAAGTACCGTTTATAATTTTTTTTCAGAAGCACTGTCACTTGGCTTTGTTCATTGTTAAGCTGCTTTTGTAAGGTCATTTATTATTCATCATTGAGGCATTGTTAATAAGAGGAATACTTAGAAAATTGACTTTTACTCTAGCAGTCTCATAAAAAATTACCTCTTCAAATTCTTTTTGTCGCACTTGTTGCAAAAAATCATCAACACAAGCTAATAAACCACGAAGTTGAAGTCCAATGTCCTGTAATATGTCAAGAATAAGATTAAAATAACATACATAACTGAATTCAACCTATGAATAGAACATATTGACAGTTTTTAAATAAGTCAATATTTTACAAATATAAGTCAGATATAAATAAAAAAAAAACTTTATAAACAAATCTGATGACATTTTCATTTATACCCTAACTGGATTCATTAACAAATTTATGTTAAGCTGAAATAGAAAATTATTGGTTCTTTAATGAGGACTGTTCTAGGTTTAAACACATGGGAGGATGTGAGGCACTCAAAATTAATTAATTGTTGGTGGTTGCATTTTTATTTTTTGATGAATTATAAAAAGAAATTTATACATCATGGGTGGTTGGGTCTGAAAAAAGTGCCTCCCATGCAACTCATTTGTATAAATCTGGAACATCCATTAACATATTTTACCATTCTATATACCTATTGCTGATTAATTATTCAAACCAAGTTTAAGATTTAATTTCAAAACAAAACTTTACTGCTTATATATAATGAAATTTTGAAGCCAGTGTAAACCAAACCAAATATTACTCAAGAACCAAATTCTACCAGAATATTACAAAATGAGAACAAGGATACATTTCTTAACTGTCTGCTTTTAAGTTTAATATCGATTTCAGTTTTGAAGTGTCCATTATTTCAGACTATTTACATAGCTTTAAAGAAGGGTTACTGATATCCCTGGAGCAAATCCTCGTCTGCATATAAATTACTGAACATCAATAAGATTCCATTTTTCCATCCAAGGAAAAAGGGAAAATATCTCATATTCAAACTTAATTTTTCAAACACTAAAATATCTTATCTGGGTTTTAAATTAAGGTTTTAAATTAAATGATTATCAGAATAATGTTCTATGAAATGCAGTGGTAGAATTTTTACTTTCTTTATTGAATATCTTTATTGACAAACCTTGATATGGTCAATGTATAATTCTGGTTTCATGGAGTTAAGTCCCTTTGTAAAAGTCATAACAGCTCTCACAACATTTGTGGTATTATCATAAACTGGATCATTAGTACGATCAATTCCAGGTGATGGTGGGGGTTCAGGCTGAAAAGAACATAACAAATTAATTCCCTTTATAAACAATCTTTATGTAAAAATTGTGGAATTGTACTGAAAATTGAAAAGAGCAGGGTCGATAAGGCCCTTATTTTGCCCAAATATTAATGCAAATTGAAAAGTTGCTGTACAGGTTCTTTAATTTGTCCTTTCAATACTGAAAATAAAAACAAATTTCACATTTTACTATTTACCATGGCAACAAACGATGAAGAAGTTTTTATATGTTGTAAATTTTCTGGATTTTTCTTGTTTTACATCAACTTGTATGTATATTTTGCACTGGAAAAGTATGTGAGCACCCAAGACACAACTTTAGATTTGATGAGATTTTGTAAAATGTTTTAACAAAGCTTCTCTAAAATTATTTTGTTGTTTCTTGGCTGCACACCAAGTTTCCACAAAGAAAATATGGATGGAAAACTGCATACATTTAACAGTTTTCTTCGTTTTCACCAAAAGGTGCATATTATGAAGAAAATGTGACGTCCTAATATAAAAAATCTTGTGAAATTCATTTATATTTATGAGCTACATGCATTTACAAACATAGCAAATTTGAAATAGTTCTCAAAAACTTTATTTTCTGCTGCAAAAAATGGGCTTTAATGCCCCCAATCCTTTAGTAATCATGACTAATTTGAAATCTTTATATATACAGGAATAGCTAAAAACCAGTTCTTTTTAACTAACTTAGAAAAATATTCTTGCAAGTGTATGGTATCTTTGTGAATACAACACAAATTAACTATCGAATTCATGCACAAGACTTAAGGCTTCAGCAGGCATGCCATCTTCAATTTTGGGGTACTCCATATCGTAACTTGGGCAGGCAACATTATGTTACATATTTCATTATGGATTTTGGCCAAATATATTATTGTTCCCAAAATTTTCCTGAGTAGTTAGAGTGCCATCATACTTTAACAAGGAATAGCTCTCATCTCGATTGCTCAGCAGCTCTATTTCACGTCAGTCTATGCTCACCTAGATCAACTCTAAAATGGTACCACGTGAAAAAACAAGTTATTCTATATCGCTGGGGAACTGCTTGCTAAAGTACTCTGGGACAAGTAGGCATGGTAGTAGTACATGGCATTTGTATTCAGATACCTCTATGGTGACTTCTTTCCCAGTGAATCATATGCCACGAGAAAAAATATCCTTATGCATTAATACTGTGCGCCATGCGCACTGCTCGGATTATTAAGTATAATTATGGCGTCATTTCGTACTGATTACATGACAGCTTTTCATTCAATGATGCCAGTGAGTTTCTGTAACATAATGTGTTGCCCTCATGCCCAAAATATTTTTTATAATAAAATTATAATTTTACATCATGTTTTATTTCAATACTGCAATGACTGTTAGTTTAAACTATCTGTGAAATATTTACCACTGAACATTATCAGCAATCATTCAATCAAGGACTTTTAATTGGTATTGTGCCTATTATTCTACATTTAACTAATACATGTTTTCTAGGGTTATTATTAAATGATCTGCGGTCAACGCTTAATCTGTCATGCGTGTTCATTGGTGTGTAATGTATTAAATCACACAAGAAATTATGTAAATAATAGGTTAAGGTCAGTATACCTGAGGTCAGTGTATTTATATTAGTTTTGATTTGCAATGATGGTTTTCACTTGGAATATTTATCGCCCGGATGCTCAATTTCATTTTATCATTTATGCATGAAACGTTATATAAAATAAACATTCTAGATAAGTCCAAATAAACAGCTGCGCCATGAGCGCATGATACGTCCATCGCATTTTCAAAAAATTCAATCACTTCTCAATGTCATATCAGAAATTTATGAAAATCGAAAGGGAGCTTTTGTCAATAGATTTAAAAAATTCACCAAAGTTTCATGACAACTGCTGAAAGCATTTTTGAGGTATTGTCCGAAAACTGGAAAATCCCCCCTTTTTTAATGAATAAAACACCATAAATCGGAAACTTAAAATCTAAAATTTATAAAATTCGAAAGGGAGCTTACATCAATAGATATAAACAATTCACCAAAGTTTCATGAGAACTGCTAAACACATTTTGGAGTTATTGTCCGAAAAACTGTAAACTGCCCCTTTTTTTAATGAATAAAACCCCATAACTCAGAAACGTAAAATCTAAAATTTATGAAAATGGAAAGGGAACTCATGTCAATAGATATAAACAATTCACCAAAATTTCTTGCAAATTGGTGAAAGCATTTTGGAGTTATTGTCAGAAAACTGGAAAATCCCCCTTTTTTTAATGAATAAAACCTCATAATCGGAAATGTAAAATCTGAAATTTATAAAAAACGAAAGGGAGCTCACGTCAATAGATATAAACAATTTATCAAAGTTTTATGCAAATTGGTTCAAGCGTTTTTGAGTTAATGTCTGACATGTTGATGATGGACGGACAGACAGACAACGGTATACCATAATACGTCCCGTAAACGGGCGTATAAAACTGTCTGCAAGTAAAGTTCATTAGTGAATTCAGAAATTTTTGCCATGTTATTATTGTCATTCTTATCATTGCAAAAATTGTGACCATGATATGTTTCTCAAAAATCAAACTATAAATTTTAATAGGATTATATGCATGTAGCATTTTCTTATATTGCCAGAAGTTATCTCACATTTTTGTTCCGTCTTCAACAATCAAAATAACAAATGCATTTAAACATTCCTGAATTAATGGTACTATTATAATCAAAAGCTGAGGTAAAATTTTACAATATCAAACAACTTTTTATGTTGATATCTGAACAAACAAAAAGCATCATAAAATAAAAGAACAGAGGTCCAATGTCCCCCGCATTGCACATATTTTATATTTCCAAGGGCATAACTCTTTTAAAAAAAGTCGATCGTCAACCATTATATAACTTGTTCGAGATATTGCTGATATTAACCTATAGTATAAGTTTTATAATAAACTGTTATCACAGAGATATGTCTCGCCCTTTTGTAATTTTGATTATGCAAATGTTGAAATTAAAATAGCAACACTTCAACATGTTTCATAAGTTATGCAAATAATCAAAGTCAATGAACCATGACTGAGGTACATGGCTAAACAATCTCCATGTAAATGAGATGTGCCAAAGCTAATACAACTGCATACCAAATACCATTGACTTATTATAAGTCGTTCCCTTTAAACAAACCTAAACACAAACATTAACTTGTAAACTATGTAAAAGTTTCAAAGTCAATGAACCATGAAGAGGGGGTGGGGCTATATAATCTCCATGGAAACGATACTTGCAAATGCCAATAAATTTGCATACCAAATATCATTGACTTAACATTAACAGTTCATCTTAAACTGATCTAATCACAAGCTAATACATGTAAACTAAGCAAAAGTTTCTGAGTCGATAGACCATGACTGAGGGGGCAGTGCCAAATAATCTCCATGGAAATGAGATATGCCAATGCTTATACAACTGCATACCAAATATCATTGACCTACCACTAGTGGTTCCCCATAAACTGACCTTATCACAAACTAATACATGTAAAATAAGCAAAAGTTTCAAAGTCAATAGACCATGACTGAGGGGGTAGGGCCAAATAATTTCCATGGAAATGAGATGTACCAATGCTAATACAACTGCATACCAAATATGATTGACCTACCACTTTTGGTTCACCATACACTAGACCTAATCACAAACTAATACATTGTTGAGGACGCCGCCGACACCGGAAACAGCATATATATGTCTCGCTTTTTGACTCTGTCAAGGTGAGACAAAATCTGGCAAGAATTGTACCCGTGAGAGCGCTAAGGAGGCCATTTTCAATAAATTTAATATTTCCAAGGGGCATAACTCTTTTAAAAAAAGTCGATCGTCCACTATTATAGAACTTGTCCGAGATATTGCTGATATTAACCTATAGTAACAAGACCGGACAGACGGACGGACACACAGACGGACGCCCGGTATTTCCATGTCCCCTGCAATGCGATACACGGGGGACAAAAAGCAATAGATTATACTGTATCTGCACTTAAATAAGCATTGGGCAATATTTGCCTTATTTTACTGTTTACCTTTGTTTACCACAGATGCATGTCTTCTCTCCTTTTCTCTGATTTAACTTCAAGAAATAATTGACAAGAAAATTTGTCCTTTATATCAAAAGAAAAAGTATTATCAACTACAGGGAGATACTTAAGAGATTTCAAAAAGACTATTACATAAACTATAAGATATGAGTACTTTATGTTTAAGTTGATACTAACCTGTTTAGGAGATATAAGACCATCTGACTCACTTGTACTACTGCTACGACTCCCACCTGAAAATAAAACAAATTGTACATGAACTTGTGACTTAAATATTACAGAAGGAAGGTTGCATTATATATTTTTATATTTTTGGGATAAATGTTTTTTTTAAAATTATTTCCACAAGAGATATGTTTATAAGTTTAATATCTAATGCTTAAGTTAATAATAAATATATTTTATATTCAAGCAATTTTCTCAGACTGCTCGTGATGTCCGTACACTAAACCTGTTGTAGGGGTACTGATTAATATTAAAGTCTTGAAAAACATAGTTTATATATCTATTTGTTGAAACTTGGCTTTGAACTAACTTTCATTAACTGAGATTATTCTTAGATCATTACTTTGTGTCCTGTGTTTTTTGGTAGCAGTTTTTGTGTTTAAAAATAATCTGATGAGTCAAGCCCTTTCCAATTGATTTTACAGTTTGTTTTTATGTAGTGATGTTACACCACTATTTTTTTGGTGTTATGATTTAATGTTTTAAAATAAGTGTAATTTAAGGGGTTTCTTAAAGGACGCAGAGGTGTCAATTTTAAATTTGCATGTGTAGTATCTCATTTTATAGATACATTAGTTATTATTCTATACGTTATGCTTCACAACTATATATAAATACTGTATATATATATATCTTAATCTTGCACATTTTACATAAATTTTTGAAATTTGCGAATTAGCTTACTTTTGCATTCTTTCACATGTCTGTTTACTTCAAAGTATAATTCAAATTCGTTTTTGAAGATATTGTATATGTCGGCGGATTTTCAATTTGTTCTTTGTTCTGATGTGTAAAATGATTTGTAAATTGAGAAACCTATCAAAGTTATAATAAGATTTATATCATTATAATGTCGTTCTCCAATTTTATATCCAAAGACTATATCTATTAGGGTTATTTTCTTACAAAAGTTTATGATTTTCATTTTTTCTGTTATTTTATTCCAAAAATCTTTTACAAATCTACAATCGTTAAAAAAATGTTGATAATTATCTGTGCATTTACATAAAGCACACTCTGGGGTATTTGATATTTTCCATTTGAAAAGATTTTCTTGGTTCGGTAATATATATCTAAATAATTTCCATTCATAAACTTTAAGTTTGTTTATACATATTTCATTGTTTGTAAAGGATAAGGATTGTCTAATTTGTAATGGTTTTGCGTCTAATATTCTTTGCCATTTTATTATTCCAATGTTAGGAGTTATTGAGTTTTTTATAAAATATTGATAGACAGTTTTATTGTCTAGGTCTGATAAATTTATTTCTGTTTTATTCATTCTAATTAATTTTTCGTTAATATTAACTCAGGTTTTAACAGAGTTATTTGTTTTCAGGATATCTGTCCAACTCCTTGGTATAGCTTTTTTTAGTATTGATAGTTCGGCTATCCAGTTGTGTTTTATTTCTAACTTTCGCAGTATTGTCTTTTCATCGATTTGACCGTTTTCATCAATAAGTTCATTAATATAAATTATATCGCTTTTGATCCAGCTAAACATCAACAATGGTTTATTTTTTATTTTTATGTTTTTATTACCCCATATTATTTCTTTGCATATTTCTTTGCGTATTTCTCTAAAGTTAGTGGGCGATTTAGTTTGACCTCCACCTTTAAGTATCCAGCATTTTACAATATCTAGATAAAATGCTGGTAATACAGTTGTAATTTTAAGTGGTTTTAAATTATTAATTTCTAAATTCATTTTAAAGATAAGTTTTCACCATATTTATCAAAAAAGAATCTTGGAATAATTGACCAATTTTCATGTTTTGACTCTATTAATCTTGATACCTATTTAATTTTAAGTGTGTTAAAGTAACTGTCAATATCAATCATATTGAGTCCTCCTTTGCTGTAATCTGATATTAGAGTTGATCGTTTTAGTTTATCTTGTTTTCCGTCCCAAATGAAATTAAAAATTTCTCTTTCTAAATTGCAAATATACGTTTTATTTATGACTGTCATACTTGCTAAATATGTGAATTGTGGAATTATAAGTGATTTGATTATTAAAATTTTACCGATGATAGTAAGATGTCTTTTTTCCCATGATTTAATAAGTTTTTTTGCTTTTTCAAACTTGTTTTCCCAATTTAGTTTTGTGCATTCTGTTTTATTTGTACTGAAATACAAGCCTAACACTTTAACAGGTTTATCTGTGAACTTTATATTATCTACTTTATCTTTACAATTTTTTAGTTTTCCACCACTATTTTGGTCTAGGGGAGAGTTGAGTATGTTTAACCCTGCCAAATTATTTATGTATTTTTCCCAAACTAGGAGCCTGTAGTCCAGTGGTTGCCTTCTGTAATAACTGGTTTTTCATTTAAAGTTGTATTTTTCATATCTCGTTTTCAAGATTTTTTCTAAATTACTATATGGTATGAGATTTGCTTATAGTTGAAGGCCAAAGGATTCAATTCAATTCAAAATATTTTATAGATTATTGTTCAAATATCGAATATACATTTAAACAAAGGGATTGGACAAAAGGCAAAGCCGATACAAATCCTTTCCCAAACAATGAATTGGATTAAATGATCTGATACTATATAATATATTCCTGATAATTCATAGATCATTCATTATTGCAGTGCGTCAGGGGAGGCAACCCCCCACTTCTTCGAATATTTTATTGGCTATGCATATATGATAAATAATTATAAGTGAACCCTTGCCAGTTTACTATTTAAGATAATATTGTCAAATTTTATACCACATTAATAAGTAATGGTAAAAAATCAAATAAAATCTTTTAAGTGATATTTACTCAAATTCACTAACTCACTGCAATAAAGTTGTTCTATTTATATAAATAATAAGAACTAGAGAAAACTGACATGTCAGCAAGAGAACTCCTCACACAGGGGCAGAAAGACTAATGCATACAAAGCAAATGTTCATAGGTTGTCAATTTTCATAAATTTTGACACCAGTGAATAATTCAGGATGTGTTCTCTCGATTAACATGTTTTGTTAAAATCCAAGAACTATGACATGTAGTTCGGTGGGCATTTTCGTAAATAATAATTCTGACACATTTCATAATCGCAAATGATACCTCTTTTCATTTAAATCCTAGCAAGAAATATGATTTTCAGAATTTATCATTTAAAAAAAAAGAAGTTTTAAACACAATTTTGATTTGAGGAAACAATTTGGAATGCAAACTATGCCTATATTATGTATCAATTTCCGATGACATCCTACTTACTTCTAAAAGATGCTTCTAAAAATTTGTAAAGTTTTTACCATTTTTTTTTATAATTTGTCAATCACTTTGAAATAACTTAATACGACTATATATCAGTTTTTGTTAAAAAAGAAAACATTTCTCAAAAATTGTTATTTTTTTAACAAAAAGAAGTTTTTCCAAAATTAATTTGCCTATTTTACCAAAATATGATCTTCACATCTACATATTATTCACAACAACTATACAAAATTTCATAGGCCTCTTACCTATAATTTTGGAGTTTTTGTGTATACAAAAGACATTTCTCAAAATTAGTGATAGATTTTTTTTAACAAAAACGAAGTTTTTACAAACATCAATGAGCCAAATTTCACAACAACTGTGCAGAATTTCTTTGGCCTCCTACCTATACTTTTGGAGTTTTTGCGTTTACAAAAAACATTTCTCAAAATTAGTGATTCTTTATTAAAAACAAAGTCATGTTAGTGTTTGCATACGACAAGACATCTGCAGCAATGTAACTAGGAATGCCTCCAGAAATAGTTTTATGAAGAAATGATAATTTGTTTTTCTGTTGCCTATTCTGGAGAAAATCCCAACCTAATTCCTTGTATAATTTCCATTTAGGTGTTCCCTTTGAAGCCCAGATACAATTTCTAGCAGCTGCTAGTAATACATACTCAATTAGATCTGATTCTTCTTTTGTACAGATATCCGAAATTATGTTCCAATATTCCAAAATAGGTCTAATAAAGGCAATATAGAGTCTTTCTAGAGATTGTCTATCAATCTTATTTTTTAAATATCTCATAATATTAAGACGTCTACAAGCTTTTGTATAAATATCCTGTATGTGACTTGCCCATCTGGCATTAGATGATAGGGTTATGCAAAGATGCTTATGTTCTGATATAATTTCTAGAGGTGTATTACATTCATGCATAATGATATGACATCACCATTACTTTTTCTTGTAAAGTACATAGATTTTGTTTTGTCTGCATTGAAGGTTACACCCAAATCTTCTGCCCACTGATCTAATGACTCTAGATCTTGCCCTGAGGATTCAGCTGCTGATTTCTCATCGTCTACAACACAATATACCGGGTAAACAAGTATCGCCTGCAAACAGTTTTATTTTATTTTGTAACTACATCTACTATGTCTAAAACAGAAAAGGGCCCAAGATGGACCCTTGAGGGACTCCTGCCTTTGGTTTTTCTGATAGACAACAAAGGGTTGGAGTAAACGGTTATTTTCCAATTTGGAAAATAACCATTTACTCCAACCCTTTGTTGTCTATAATAAAAACCAAATGGTGACCTGTAGTTGTTTTTCATTCTTGTTCATTTTGTGAAAAAATGTCTAAATGGCAAGCATACCACATCTCTTTATTTTTATAATAATGGAAAACAAAGGATATGGTGTATTAAAATTCCTGACACAAAATCACAGCACTCTTTGCATGACCATATGCAAAGAAACAAAACTTTTATTGCCTATTTAAGATTCCCATATTCCAAATAAAAATGCACAACAAATTCTCATTACTAAAAACATAATTTGCTTTTTCCTAGAAAAATAGATGTAGTTTAAGTAAAACAGTGCTTAAAGGCAGTGAATTAAGAATTATTCATGAACTATTTGTATAAATTCTACTAGAAAGTGACATACCTGAAATTCTATTCTGGATTGTTATTGTTGGTCTAGTTTCTACCATTTGCACTGGTGGAGCATTTTCTTTTGTAGATTCTCTATTTTTAGGTTTAACAGGAACAGCATACTTGTCTCTGCCCTTTTAAAAAGAAAGCATTTCTGTTTTAAATTCTTTAATAGATTGATTAATTGATTTTTGGTGTTTTAACGCCACTTTTAAGCACCGCTTTTGGGCTATTTCGTGGCGGCCAGTTTTTATTGGTGGAGGAAGCCGGAGCGCCCGGAGAAAACCACCGACCTTCGATAGAAAAACTGACAATCCTAGTCAATTAAGATTGGAGTCGAGTGCACCCGCACGAGCGGGGTTCGAACTCACAACCTCAGTGTTGACTGGCTAGTGATTACAGTAGTAACTATTCTTTAATAGAAGATATGCATGGAATCCCATATTGCAAACTTATAATGCTATTCTTCGTGGTAACCTTATTTTAAAGAAATTGTCATGGGTCAATAATTAGAAAAATTAATGGGGAATGTGACCATGGGACACAGATGATGCCCCCACTTGCATATCATATAAAGTTGTAAAGGGACATAACTGAAGAACAGTAAAAGTGACGCTACCCAAATTTATACTTGATCTGAGTTTTGTGGTAATAAGTATTGTGTATAAGTCCCATAACATTTGGTTGAGGCTACCTTAAATTAGAGAACAGAAACGAAAAATTCAGCAATTTTTCCATTTTTAAACAGGCATAACTCTAGAACGGTAAAAGTGACACCACCAAATTTCAAACTTGATCTGTATTTTGTGGTAATTAGCATTGTGTAGAAGTTTCATAACATTTGGTTGAGGCAAACTAAAGTTGGAGAATGGAAACGAAAAATTCAGTAATTTTTATGTTTATAAAGGGGCATAACTCAAGAAAGGTAGAAGTGATGCCACCCAATTTCATACATGATCTGTATTATGTGGTAATAAGCATTGTGTATAAGTTTCATAACATTTGGTTGAGACAAACTAAAGTTAGAGAAAGGAAACTAAAAATTCAGCAATTTTTCCACTTATAAAGGAGCATAACTCTAGAACGGTTGAAGTGACTCAACCAAAATTCAAACTTGACCTGTATTCTGTGGTAATAAGCATTGTGTATACGTTTCATAACATTTGGTTGAAACGGAAAAGAAAAATTCACTAATTTTTCCATTTGTAAAGGGGCATAACTCGAGAATGGTTATAGTGACGCCACCAAAATTCACACTCAATCTGTGTTTTTTTGGTAATAAGCATTGTGTATAAGTTTCATAACATTTGGTTGAGGCAAACTAAAGTTAGAGAAAGGAAACCAACTTTGGGATGTACGGACGGACGTACAGACGGACATGGGTAAAACTTAATGCCCCCTCCGCTACGGTGGGGGCATAAAAAGAGTAAAAGGTAGAACATGGAACTGGATGGTTAAAGACCATCACAAAAATGTAGCTTTTTTTATATCATAGAAGTAAAGGGTTAAAAGTTAAATAATTATAACATGAAAGCCTTGTAAACTAAGCTCTTCACCACTATAAAATTTTTTTGTCATTGTTCATTACATTCGTAACAATATTTTCATTTTTATATATCTCTTTTTATTAATTCTTACTAGATTTTTCTCTGAAGCTTGAAGCCATCTTGCATCTTCTTCTAACTGTTGTTGTTGCTGTTGTAATCGCTGTTCTATCACATTAGGATCAGATTCATCGTGGTGATTATTATTTAGCACTAATGGTTCACGGAATTCCCAGTCCTAAAAAGATGTATATTCAAATTTTCTGATTCTAACGTTAAAAAAAAACAGAATAAAAGAACGGTGTTCTATTAACCCCCTCTTGGTGTTATTAAAGGACATAAACTGTTACTTGATTAATACTACATTGAAACTGGTCAGAAAAAGTTTCTTTACAGGAATCTTCATTTTGTAGACATTAGAGCAATTACTATAAAATTTTCAAATTGTTGAAATTTGTTTTACTATATAAAAATTCAAACTTGATCTGTGTTTTGTGGTAATAAGCATTGTGTATAAGTTTCATAACATTTGGTAAAGGCAAACCTAAGTTAGAGAACGGAAAATGGTATAAGATGACTAAAAAACTTACTGGCATTTCTGAATGGCCTTCCTGAGTAAAATTGTCATTTATCACAGCTGAACCCCGAGGGGAAGTGGTTTCATAATGTCCACCAAATATCTCAGCACATTCCTGGGGATTACGAGGAACTTGGTACCGAGGGTACACCAGACCTCTTTCCCCAGGTATTTGAGAGTGTCCTTGCACTAAGTCATTATTAATATCCTGATGAATATTTTGGTGAGGGACTGATGATACAGCAGTATATCCTGATGATGACGGAAAGTAATGTTGTAAATTTATTTCCCTTGGACCAATATCATTCAGTTTCTGCTCCGACATCCTTGGAATGGTTCCTGGAGGAGGGTGTTGTGGACTAGGTCCTGATGGGGTACTATGTCCTATTGGCAGGTTTGTCGTACTGTTCCAGTGATGTGGTAGAGATGCTATGCTGTGGTTGATTGCCAGATTGGGTGTGGAACCTGTGGGTGACATGGCAGGATACTGGGGTCGTGCAGGCTTAGGTGGAGGTTCCTCAATATCAGATCCGCTTGATCCTGAAATGAAAACAACTTGTTAATCACATGAAAACTTTAAAATACACCTGAATATATTCTCTTAATATGATTTAGTCATAAGAGAATAGATCTCTTTAGCATTGCTGACTGTGAATGATATAGTTCCAGAGATTGTATCTCATAGCTGTATCTACAAAAGTATTACAAGTAACAAGTATGATATCAACCATGTTTAACACTGCACTATATTCAGTCTATAATAAAGATAATGGTAAACGAGTAGGTCTCAATCAACTTCAATTGGTCACAATTATTTTCCAATCAATGGCACCTGTTACTTTTTTCTTCAATGTTTACTAAAGCAGGTTATCCATCCATTATTTTTTCCCAAATCCAGTGATCTTTTTGAACTTTTTCACTAATGTTTTCAATGAAAATGTCCTGTTAGTTTTCAATAAAATTTTTAAATGAAATGATAAATCAATTTTTTTCCCAAACATAATTAATTCAATATTCATAACAACAATCACATTTCAATCCAAAAAAAATATTTCTATAATTTCCAACACTATATTTACTGTTTTCCTTGTCAGAATTCCTTTTAAATTTAGCAGACAATCTCAAACCAGCTCGCTTGAAACTCATTTTGACAAATTGTAAAACAAAAATATCTTCAAACTTAAATGAACTTCACATGCCGAGGTCCAAGGCAGGGAAAAAAATGTTAATCAACATAAGTCTGTCAAATTTGACTACATGATAATGGAACAAAAGCCACAAAACGGAAAACACTTGGTGAAGATATTATGTGTGTATCTTGTCTGACAGGTATTGATCTCCTTCGTGAACTGAATCAATTGGTCAATTATTTAATTTCCTTCCTAAAATTTTAAACAATTTAAATAATTTGCATGTAATCCCAATAAGTACTAACTTCCTTACAGGAAGAAAAGTTTTTAATAGGGGGTAAACATGTCAAATAATGATGTAAGTCAACAAATACCTGAAACCAGGGGCTGCTGGGAGAGGGTCACATTCTATATGAAATACAATAATCATCACTGATCATGGCTATGCAAAAAACTGCTGTTGTTCTTTCATAGAAACCACCATATTGTATGTGTTTATCATTAGTATTGTCTAAAAATTGTTAACTTCAGAAAAAACTAAAGCAAATTGAGTAATATTTTTGTTAAATTACATAATCAGTAGCTCAAAAACTTCATTCATAAATAAATGTTTTTATCATTTCTAAAAATCAAGTTACAGTCATTATTTATAAAGAATATTCAAGAATTGATGTCAGTATAGTATAATGATTGGTGGGTTATTTTCTGGAAGGGACAAAGGAGAATTTGATATATAAAGGCATTTTATTATATACTTAGTAGTAAATACAGGTAAATTGTATGTGTAATACAATTGATGACAATCAGCCATCCGTGATGATATCAATATTAGTCACGGTTGCAAGGCTTTATCAAACCCCTAATCTGTATGATGTCAAGTAATCGATATCAGTCAGGGTTACAAAAGCTTTACCTACCCCTAATATGTATTACGCCATGTCTTGTGAAAAATATATAAGAGATTAGTTGTACTTGAGGTACATATATATAATAAAGTGTATATGATATGCTTTTCAATATCACACACAATATCAATCCTCAACCAATATAATCCCTCAAGCAGAGCTCTTGGGATTATATTGGTGACTCGGGTTGATACAGGTGTGATATTGAAAGAGCCATATGATATTCTCTATTTAAACACAGAGCACCTAAAACAAAGGTGTAGACAAGCTTACTTGGAAGCTCTGGGTTAATGTACACCTACATTTTATTTAAATTTCAAAGGATTATCATATTTTGTATTAACTACAGGGTTCAAAGTGTTAATGAGTGCAGTATAATAACATCTATCCAAAATAATACATTTATAAAGGTATATTTCTATAAGTAGTAGAACACTTCAACATGTCAAAGTAAACTCTGGTTTATTTGACCACTTGACCTATTTATCATACATACTCCAACTTATATCCTGTATCCTCCGGTTATCTCTTCTCATCTCCTCTTCCTGTCGGAATCTTTCTTCTTCTAAAATCTCACTACAAACCAAATTATTCTTTCATCTTAATTATGACATTTCATTCCAATACACATGAAAAGATTAGCCCACAAAAATAAATTTTATATAACTTGAGACTTTAGATTTGTTTATTTTTAAATTCAATGGTTTTTCACGGATCATAGGAAAAATAAACTGTTATCACAGAGATATGTCTCGCCTTTTTGTAATTTTGATAATGCAAATGTTGAAATTATAAAATAGCAACACTTTAACATGTAAGTTATGTAAATATTCAAAGTCGATGAACCATGACTGAAGGTACATGGCTAAATGATCTCCATGGATTGAGATGTGTCAATGCTAATACAACTGCATACCAAATACCATTGACTTATTATAAGTTGTTCCCTTTAAACAAACCTAAACACAAACATTAACTTGTAAACTATGTAAAAGTTTCAAAGTCAATGAACCATGATCAGGGGTGGCCAAATAATCTCCATGGTAATGAGATATGCCAATGCTTATACAACTGAACACCAATTAACATTGACCTACCACTAATGGTTCCCCATAAATTGACCTAATCACAAACTAATACATGTAAACTATGAAAAGTTTCAAAGTCAATAGACCTTGACTGAGGGGGCGGGGCCAAACAATCTCCATGGTAATGAGATATGCCAATGCTTATACAATTGCATACCAAATATCATTGACCTACCACTAGTGGTTCCCCATAAATTGACCTAATTGCAAACTAATACATGTAAACTATGAAAACTATGAAAAGTTTCAAAGTCAATAGACCTTGACTGAGGGGGCGGGGCCAAATAATCTCCATTGTGATGAGATATGCCAATGCTTATACAACTGCATACCAAATATCATTGACCTACCACTAGTGGTTCCCCATAAATTGACCTAATCACAAACTAATACATGTAAACTATGAAAAGTTTCAAAGTCAATAGACCTTGACTGAGGGGGCGGGGCCAAATAATCTCCATGGTAATGAGATGTGCCAATGCTAATACAACTGCATACCAAATATCATTGACCTACCACTAGTGGTTCACCATGAACTAGACCTAATCGCAAACTAATACATTGTTGACGCCACCGTCACCGCCGGAAACGGCATACCTATGTCTCGCTTTTTGACCCCGTCAAGGCGAGACAAAAAATGACCATTAGAGTCATAGTTACATTACATAGATGTTTTATAAGGATTCCATCATTTGGATTGGCAAACAACCAATTAAACTCTCCCAATCAAATGCAACAGCCATGGTGGCATGTGTTATCCATATACAATGCTATAAAACTTTAAAAAAAAAAAGAAACATTCAATTCTTACATAAAATATCCCTTTTATGAATGGAAATACATTTAATATTCTAAATTCCTTCAAAATTGAACAAATGCTGAAGGAAGTTAGACGACAAAATAAGCTAGACAGTGGTCAAAACATTTACATTCATCTTTATTTTTGCAAACTTTTACTTTGTCATTATACAATTATGGCCTATAGAAAAGGTGAATATCCAATATTGTCAACCTGAAAAACATGGGCTTTGAAAGTGACGTTTGCCATTTTGTTTACATATGCCTGTGATGTCATTTTGAGGGGGAATGAATAACTTGCGTACAAATCTAGAAGCTTAAAAGGTTATTCACCGCTGGTTGTTAATTTTAAAGGAATTTTGTCCTTCGTTGCATTTAAATGTAAACAAGCATTCTGAGAGTATTGCATGGCAATACATGGTCCCCTACCTGTTAAAAATCAATTGTACTGGAACAAAATGCTAACTTGATCTATAATTTGTCATGGTGTAAACTAAATAACAAATATCAAGTCAATATCTTCAAGCATGACGAAAAAAAGTGTGGAAAACTGATTATTTAAGTGAATTTTCTAAGTCCAAGGACCATAACTCTGCACAAAATCATCAGACCGGAACAAAATTGGAACTTGATCTGTAACTTGTCATGATAAAACTATATACCAATTATCAAATCAATATCTTCAAGCATGACGAAAAAAGTCTGGAAAACTGATCATTTGAGTGAATTTTCTAAGTCCAAGGACCATAACTCTAAACAAAATCATCAGACCGGAACAAAATTATAACTAGATCTGTAACTTGTCATGATAAAACAATGTACCAATTATTAAGTCAATATCTTCAAGCATGATCAAATAAAAGTGTTGAAAACTGATTATTTGAGTGAATTTTCTAAGTCCAAGGACCATAATTCTGCACAAAATCATCAGACCAGAACAAAATTTGAAATTGATCTGTAACTTGTCATGATAAAACAATATACCAAATATCAAATCAATATCTTCAAGCATGAAGAAAAAAAATGTGAAAAACTGATTTGCCGGACTGACAGACGGACAGACAGACAGACAGACAGACAGACAGACAGACAGACAGACAGACAGGACAGACAGACAGACAGACAGAGTGCAAACTTAAAGTCCCCTTCGACTTGGTCGGTAGGGACTAATTAACTGGATAATTCCATGTCAATTGATAACGTATTACTCAATAGAATTGTTTATCATATATGTAAGGTATATTAATGATAATTATTAACAGGACATGAATTATCCTCTTCACCTATAAATGGCATGAATACTTCATATAAGTGAAACCATCATAATTTTGCCGATTATCTACCCTTGATAATCAGTTTCATACATATTCAAAATGAATAAAATAGTTGTAAAAAATCTCAAAATTACAATTACATGACCTCCATCATTCAGGTTAAGAACGTTAGAGGAATTGTCTGCAATACAAGTGTCAATTAGCAGGCTGATTCAAGAAAAACAAGGCTTCAAAGGGTTCAAAGGGCAGAAGTATGGTAATTCTTGCCATCAAATACAAGTACCATAGTCATTGTAGGAATTGATTTCAAAGTAATCAAGAACAAAGTGAGCTCATTAAGCAGATTGTGTCTTCAGAAAAAAATATTTATCTATAAAAAAAAATCTTCAAGTTTCAATTTCCGGTCGGCATTACAACTATCCCTCTTAGGTAATCACTATAGACAGTTGAGTTTTTACATTATTGGATGGGGTTGGTCTTAATATCTTGGCTCCATGTTCAGATTTTTGCTTTAGATATGCACACAACGGTTGAGTTTATTTATTAGACAATGTGTAGCATACACTACTCATGAGAAGCAACACTTAATGTCAGTAAAAATTGGTTGAGTAGATGGTTCATTTAAAACCACACACAATATATTTTTATAACCTGGGGATCTATGGGAAGGGCTAATTTTTATGCAAGAACAAGGAACACTTGAGTTATCTTTTACAATGCTATTTTCGTCGCTAGTCAAGCAATATCCTGCAAAAAGCTATAATACCCTACAATTACTTCTATATAACAATCTTTCAACAGTTTTCACACAAAAATATGCTTTCAACCTCACTTCTACTCCAAATAATGTTTACTATTTGGTCTGGTACATATAATTGCTCAAAACTTGATCATATTCCAAGGGTTTTTCTCTGTATTTTGGGAGAGAAAAAAAATGCGAGTTTTAGTGCGTTTAGTTCATTAGAAATTATCTTTATTTAAAATAAAGTAAAAAACTACATGATTGCTATTGATAATTTTATTTTCCGTTCTTTTTGTTTTTAAACTTGACAACAAGGCAATCAAGTTTATTTTAGTATCAAAATATTGTAGTATTAAAGTGCACATGTGATAAAATTTACTGCCTTTTTTTACATTAACCGTTAATATAATAAATAATTCAGGGATAGAAATAAGATTTATTTTAACTGGCCAAGCAGGCTAACACTTTTCTAAATTCACTTGCTTTTCCAGATTTTTACTGGCCCTTCAAAATTGAGAAGAAATTACCTCTGTAGTTATATGTTTACATTATAAAAACATCCACTATCAACATTTTTTCGTGATACAGAAAAGTAAATAATTTTGAGATTCTGTATAAAATATTTCCTGTTTCTTCTTTCTTTTTCATATATATCTTTTGGTTTTCAATTCTAGTGTTTATATTTAAATTTATAGCTGTATTTTTTCACCTGCCTGGATTTTTTTTTATCTATTTATTGTAAACCCGGAATTAGCCTATCTGCTCCCAGAATCTGATCCGGTATTGTAATTGTCTACATTTCCGGTTTATAACGGCCATTTGTCAGTCAGATATGTTCTTACTCGGTTTTACACATTACTTGTTGCTGATTTTCGGCATTAAAGCTAGCAGTTGAACAAAATGAACATCGCTGTCATAAATAATATAGATGAAAATGAATTTTGAGATCGTTTTAGAATTTTTCCTCCCAAAATTGGGAAAAATGTAGGGTTTTTGCCATTGGGAATGGTTCCAAATACCGGACCCTGTGGAATGCTAGAAAAATCCATGTATTCAGTAAAAAAAATTCCTTTATACTTCAGACAATACTTACGAAAGGCGACCCTTGGTATCAGCAAATGATGGTCGATTAGTGGGTTCATAAGACCAGCAGGCACACATCAGATTATACAAGGCTGGAGGACAACCAGGTGGCAATGGAAGGCGCTCACCATTTTCTATTTTACCTATCACATCATTGTTTTTTACGCCTTGGAATGGTTTGATTCCATACATAAGTATCTCCCATATACATACACCTGCAAAACAAAATAATGGTGTGATTATAGATGTATTGTGGAAATACTGTATACATATACCTGCAAAACAAAATAATGGTTTGATTATAGATGTATTGTGAAAACATTGTATACTTCAATGGCTTTAAACAATTAATATGCATTTCTTCTGATTACATACAATTTTAAAACAAAAAACATTACCTTGCACATACAATTAATATTGGTAAATATTAAAATTAAGATTACAAACATAAGGAAGAGGAAGAAAATCAAGGCTTACCCAAACTTAAATATATTTATTAAACATTCATATATTTTCCCACTTGAAATTTAATAAAGAAGGTTATTTATGAATAAACCTAGATATGGCAATCATGTCAACAAGACAGCAAACCTTACACATACTGTGTCTGTTCTCAGTCAGGCTATCTTGACCATTTCATACATGTGACAGAGTTGTCAAGTCACAACTGGAGATTTGAAAATTTTCAGCTGGAGTTTAGGCCCCTTTACTGGAGATTTTTTATCAACATATTTATCGAAGTTTTCAGTGTTCATTTTGATGATAAAGCTACATATTTCCCCCTTTTTAAAATAACAATATTACTACTTCTGTATTTTCTCTGTATTGTTACCTTTAAGCTAATGCTATACTATTTGTATGTGATTTTTTCCTTTACTCATCTGTCATCTATCTTAGTGTATTCCTCAAATCCAATTATGGCCCAAGTGTTTTACAGTGTTATTCCATTTTCCTAGCTAATGTTGATTTAACCCATCTATCATAAACACTCTATTAAGCTTTACTTAACGACGACAACAACGAGGGGGGGGTTTAACGACCTTGACTACCCATGAGGGTCTTGCATGGTCGGCCCTGGCTAACGCCTTTTTGGGCATTTAAATAATTTACTTTTACCTTATGGTGATTGATATAATTTTGAGTGACAAAAAGAAAAAAACAGAACATGAATAAAATGTAAAATGAACAATAATTTGTCAAATAAAATAAATAAATAAATTGATGAATAAAAAAAATAAATAAATTGATAAATAAATTGATGAATAAAAAAAATAAATAAATTGATAAATAAATTGATGAATAGAAATAAAATATTAAAAAAACATAGAACTTAAATAAATAAAAGAAAAAATTAAAAAAAAACGACAGCGAGCGGCAGCAACGTTGTCACGGTACACCAGCAGCCAAGTAAAGAGCAGAATTTAGTAGCCAAAATATTTTGTATAAACCCAAATAGGCCTAAATATGTGTATGTGAATTCAATAAAAATTATTAAAAGGTTTTATATGTACATACAAAAAATTGAATAAGTAAAATAAAATAAAAAGAAATAAAAGAAAACTAAAGGGTGTATGTATAATTTTGACTGCTTTGTGCTAGCCTACTGTTATTGCAGGACTTTAAAGTGCTGTACACTGGAACACTGTTCCCAGGAAGACAAACTGGGTTAGCGTAAATCAATTTACATTATTTTAATGAGGGTATCAATTTATATTATTTTAATGAGGGTAACTTAAAACATGATAAAACAAGGGAAGTAACCTGAAATTTCTTTAAAGTGTTTTCAAATACACAAAGCTATTATTACATAACGGCAGTTAGCCTGAGTTAAAAAATCGTTAATCAATAATATGTTTGACACCCAAGCTGTCAAGTGAAGCCATATAACTATACAAGTTCTTTGATTTACAGGTAAAAATTACCTTCATCAGTGACACTAAAACGTAATTAATGTTGACATCGATGGTTATAAAAAATAAAGACTGACAATTTTTTGGGGGTTGAAATTTATTAAAAACTGGAAGATTTGAATTATTAACAGGAGGGATGGAAGAGGGCTTAAAAATCGGGAGATTTTGACTCCTACCGGAAGAATCACATGGCTGCCATTTATAGTCCATTGTTGTTTGTCTGTTTTTAATTCTATATTTTCATTTTCTTTTTATGTTGTGGTGGTTGGTGTATTCTGTTGTACTGTATATCTGGTAAATTCTGTGTCTTTTTATGTTTTATTAAGCAACCCAATGAGTCAATTATAAAAGTCATCTAGGAAAACACACAGTTTTTAAAGTCTGTAGATAACTAAAACTAGACTTACCAAACATCCACACATCACTGGCTGTAGTGAATCTTCTAAAGTTAATAGATTCTGGAGCCATCCATTTTATTGGCAGTTTTCCTTTGGATGCTAGAAATCATAAAGTAGTTCACATGAAAATTATTAATTTCATTGATTTTTCTGTACGTAACAATACTGACATAAATTACAAATAAATGGGGAATGTGTCCATGGGACACAGATAATGCCCCCGCTTGCATATCATATAAAGTTATAAAGGTACATAACTGAAGAATGGTAAAAGTGACGCTACCCAAATTGGTACTTGATCTGAGTTTTGTGGTAATAAGTATTGTGTATAAGTTTCATAACATTTGGTTGAGGCAAACTTAAGTGAGAGAATGGAAACGAAAAATTCAGCAATTTTTCCATTTGTAAAGGGGCATAACTCTAGAACAGTAAAAGTGACGCCACCAAAATTCAAACTTGTGTATAAGTTTCATAACATTTAGTAGAGACAAACTAAAGTTAGAGAACGGAAACCAACTTTGGGACATACGGACGTACAGACAGACAAGGGTAAAACTTAAGGCGTCCTCTGTTAGGGTAGGGGCAAATTATTTCACAGATCATGAAGAACATCTATCTACAAACATTAAAAATACCAATAGGATATTGACAAAGAAATATGTCTGGCATGTTTTTCCAAAAATTGGAAACAGCAATTTGATAACTGTGGCATACATTGTGCATAGAGAAGAATACTTCAACTTCAAAGAAATAACAATTTATATTGCAACTTCATATCAAACATCTTTGACTTTTTAAAATAAATTATCCCTACTAACCTGACCTGATCGAAGGCATACAGACAACACATAAGACATAGAAATTCTAACATAGCTTTCACAAAAGTCGTCAAATTATCATTAAATTGCTGAGCTGAGGAAAGGGAGATAAAAATCATATTAAAAATTTTATTTGTGCTCATATGGTAGAAATTTTGTTTCTATAAGATCAATTTAATATGAATAATTTAGCTATTCTATTCCCATTTTAATGATCCAAGAAAATAACTAAAAACATAATATTATATGAATCTAATCTTCTTCTAAATTTAAGGTTTGACTTAAGTATGCCTTGGATCTCTACTTCTGAACAACTTTTAAATCAGCAGATTTTAACCATAAAAAGATAATGATAATACCAATATGGTCAAATCCGCCGGGATTGAATTTTACTGGATACTTACCTTTATAATAACTTTGTTCCTCAACAACTCTGGATAAACCGAAGTCAGCCAGTTTTACACAATCATGAGATGATACCAAAACATTCCTGGCAGCTATATCTCTGTGAAAAAATAACCACATTCAATTTAATATAATGTATTATGTGTAAACTTTTGCAATGATTGAATCTTCCCTAAATACTTTGGATTTTATTTGCAATCCAATAAGAAATGGGTGAAAACTGACCAACATCCCTATCAAAAATTACTTTAAAAGTCATGCAGAAATTTTATCAAAAAATTCATTAAAGGATCTTTGCAATAGTATTAGAGATATCATAACCCCTAAAAGTTAGGGCTATTTAACAATACGGTATGAGGTCAAATCTCATTTCAAACATTAAAATTCATAGGGAGTATACAAAATAAGCACTGTGTGTTTTAAGTATGCTAAATAATAGTCTGGAATGTTATAGGAGTGTATTTTATTTTCAACTCTTATGTTTTTCTAATATGTTTGAGTGAACAAATTTAAATATAAACTGTGAAAACTTTAAACTTACCTATGTACAAACTTTTTACTTTCCAAATATGACAAAGCTGTACTTAGTTGACAAGTATATACTAACAGTGTACATAAATCTAAACGAGGACGGTTGTTCTGAAGATATGCTCTCATCTGAAATATTAGATACAGAGAATGTACAAAAGTCGAAACAGTAGTTCCTATGTGAAAATATATACTTTTATCCTAAACTTAAACAAACGTAAAAAATCAAAATCAAAACAGTAACACAGACAAATAAATTGCTTCGCCGAACGCAGCTGGATACGACCACAGAGGTCCAACCCTGAACAGTTGGGGCAAAAATGGACACAATATTTGCGCTTGATACAGATCTGAATTTGGATTGTAATTCAATATTTGACACATAATAGGTTACACAGAATAACTGTAGTCATAGAACTTAGAATTGGTTATATGATTTGAATTTATATTCAATTTTTTGCTTTTGAGCAATACACTATGCTGTTGTGAATTGACCTCCCCCCCCTTTTTCAAAAAAAAAAAAAATTTGAAGGATTTTCTTTCTGATTTCTGAATTTCTTGAGGAGAAAAAAATGGAGTTTGCAACCATAATAACCCATTTAAATACATCATAAAAGTCTTAAAATAGAAAATGACATACATAATCATAGCTAAAATTAATTTACCTTAATCAACATTTTTAAAATTATTAAAATAGTAACTTCTAAAAATAAATTGACAGCTAATCACCTCAAGACAATACAAAAATTCTTTATACATAATTTAAAAGCAGTGTAAGGGAGGTAATTCAAAGTTGTGTTTGAATTACCTCCCTTACACTGTAATTTGTACTTAATTGTCCATTAACCAAGACACCCTTGTTTTTTCTCACTTTTTTGCCCCTAATTCCTAAACCGTTTGAGCCATAACCCCCCAAAGCCAATCCTAACCATCCCTTTGTGGTATGGAAACTTGTGGTATAATTTCAGAGAGATTCATACACTGTTCCACAAGTTATTGTCATGAAACTAGTAAAATGCTTATTTGGGCCCCTTTTTGGCCCCTAATTCCTAAACTGTTGGGACCATAACCGCCAAAATCAATCCTGACCTTCCTTTTGTGGTTATAAACCTTATGTTTAAATTTCAAAGATTTCTATTTACTAATACTAAAGTTACTGTCCGGATACCAAATGTCTACGTGATACCAATATACGACCGCAAAATATTTTGCGGTCGTATAATAATTGTTTCCTTAATTGGCATAGATAAAGCAATATAGTTAAATTTTCAATATTGGATTACCCCCCCCCCCCCCCCCCCAAAAAAAAAAAAATTATGAAGACTCAAACATAATGTAATGAGGTAAAGAATTGATTTATGTTACAAATATTCTTTAGAAGATTTCACTAAAGTACTAAATGCACCAAGCAGGCATATAAGAATACAGTAGAAACAAGTTTCTTTAGTTAAAAACCCTAGTAAACTCAGTTCTAATAGGGATTGATTAAATGATCGATAGAGAGATCACAGTTTAATATCATGTTAGCACACAATGGCTATGTGGCTGTCAGGAAAATTTGTATCAAAACAGTACGATTAAAAGTCAGGTAAAGGGCATATCACAAAAGTAAAATCATTATTCAAATCAAAATGAGTTTTCACAAATTAAAGAAAACAAAGCTCGAATTGAATCAAACAGTTTCATTTTATTATAAATAACTTTTATTCATACCAATTTCATCCACAAAATTCGATGATAATTTTGACAGGTTTCGGAAAAATACACCAAATGTCATATTGATTTTAAAATATTTTGTGTGAATATCTATAAAATCTGATTAATAAGGATGTAATACTATACAATGCTTTAATATATGTGAAAAATAAATGGAGAATGTGTCCATGGGACTCAGATGATGCCCCCCCTCGTATATAACGTTATAAAGGGGCATAACTCGAGAACAGTAAAAGTAACGCTACCCAAATTGGAACTTGATCTGTAGTTGTGGTAATAAGCATTGTGTACAAGTTTCATTACATTCTGTTGAGGCAAACTAAAGTTAGAGAACTGAAACCAATTTTGGGATGTACATACAGACAGAAGTACATATGGATGGACAGATGTACAAGGGCAACACTTAATGCCCCCTCCTGTATTGGTCGGGGCATAAAAACCTTGTTTCTGTAATTTCTAAGGGTTATAAAGGGGAAATGTTTAAGATCACATATCAAAAATGAATATTGTGCAAACAACATTAGGTCACCACAGTAAAATTAAGACCAGATGTGGAGGAGTTTGCCAAGAAGTAATCCTCCAAAAGTTGACAAATTTCCATATCAAGAGATATTAATTCATTGTTCGACATACAAAAGAATTACTATCTCTTCTCTTTTGCTGTTATATATTTTTCAAACTCATTAAACTGTTTGATGCTTAAATATAAAAATTAATGGAGAATGTGTCTATGGGCCACAGGTGCCCTCACTGGTAAATATGCATGAGTCAACTTCCACATACAGATGCAGGATTCATGTAGTTAATACCGTTTTGTGATTATAAGCATAAGTTTCATAACATTTGGTTGAGGCAAACTAAAGTTAGAGAACGGAAACAAAAATTCAGCAATTTTTATGTTTATAAAGGGGCATGACTCATTAACGGTTAAAGTGATGCCACAATTTTGAACTTGATCTGTGTTTTGTGGTAATAAGCATTGTGTATAAGTTTGATAACATTTGGTTGAGGCAAACTAAAGGAAGAGAATGGAAACCAATTTTGGGGATGTACTGACGAGACTGACGGGACGGACAAGGGTAACACTTAATGCCTCCACCGATACGTGGGGGCATAAAAAGAACTATATACAATTAAGAGCATTCTTGAAACATAAGATGCTTTACTGCATATCATACTAGTCTTTCGTAAGTGAGAACTGATGTGAAAGGTGAATATATAAAAAGAAATCTTACCTCTCCATGCTTAGCCAATTCCATGACAATCCAAACAGGTCGAGATTCAGAACATATACCAATCAGATGTATGATGTGGGGGTGATCAAACTGCTGCATTACAACTGAAATACAATATGTATAGAAACATCAAAACAGAAATTATATTAACTTAATCTTTCTTATAAAATAAGAATTATTTCATACTGGTCTGAAATATAACAGAAAGTTATATAAGGTGCCAAAAAGCAATATTTTCATTCAGTGACAGGAAAATGGGTGTAGATGTACTTCAGAAATACCACGAAATCCTATTTCAAACATTTATCCATTCCCTTTCTAATATGTTGAATGTTCTAATGTTGTCAGTCATATTAGTCATAATACGAAACTTAATTCAATAGTACGCCAATTGCTATGAAAATAAACAAACTTTTAGACTAACAAAGTGAACAATCCTTCATACAAATTAGTGTGTTTTTCTTAATTTCTTTATTACCCCTAGGTATCTGTTACCTTTATTGAGCAGTTATACTCTTCTATATCATTACTTTATAGCAGTATCCTATCCTATGTTGTTTATTACCCCTTGGTATCTGTTACCTTTTCTGAGCAGTTATACTCTTCTATATCATTACTTTATAGCAGTATCCTATCATATGTTGTTTATTACCCCTTGGTATCTGTTACCTTTTCTGAGCAGTTATACTCTTCTATATCATTACTTTATAGCAGTATCCTATTCTATGTTGTTTATTACCCCTTGGTATCTGTTACCTTTATTGAGCAGTTATACTCTTCTATATCATTACTTTATAGCAGTATCCTATCCTATGTTGTTTATTACCCCTTGGTATCTGTTACCTTTTCTGAGCAGTTATACTCTTCTATATCATTACTTTATAGCAGTATCCTATCATATGTTGTTTATTACCCCTTGGTATCTGTTACCTTTTCTGAGCAGTTATACTCTTCTATATCATTACTTTATAGCAGTATCCTATTCTATGTTGTTTATTACCCCTTGGTATCTGTTACCTTTATTGAGCAGTTATACTCTTCTATATCATTACTTTATAGCAGTATCCTATCCTATGTTGTTTATTACCCCTTGGTATCTGTTACCTTTTCTGAGCAGTTATACTCTTCTATATCATTACTTTATAGCAGTATCCTATCCTATGTTGTTTATTACCCCCTGGTATCTGTTACCTTTTTTGAGCAGTTATACTCTTCTATATCATTACTTTATAGCAGCATCCTATCCTATGTTGTTTATTACCCCCTGGTATCTGTTTCCTTTTTGAGGAGTTATACTCTTCTATATCATTACTTTATAGCAGTATCCTATCCTATGTTGTTTATTACCCCTGGTATCTGTTACCTTTTTTGAGCAGTTATACTCTTCTATATCATTACTTTATAGCAGTATCCTATCCTATGTTGTTTATTACCCCTGGTATCTGTTACCTTTTTTGAGCAGTTATACTCTTCTATATCATTACTTTATAGCAGTATCCTATCCTATGTTGTTTATTACCCCTTGGTATCTGTTACCTTTTCTGAGCAGTTATACTCTTCTATATCATTACTTTATAGCAGTATCCTATCCTATGTTGTTTATTACCCCTTGGTATCTGTTACCTTTTTTGAGCAGTTATACTCTTCTATATCATTACTTTATAGCAGTATCCTATCCTATGTTGTTTATTACCCCTGGTATCTGTTACCTTTTTTGAGCAGTTATACTCTTCTATATCATTACTTTATAGCAGTATCCTATCCTATGTTGTTTATTACCCCCTGGTATCTGTTACCTTTTTTGAGCAGTTATACTCTTCTATATCATTACTTTATAGCAGTATCCTATCCTATGTTGTTTACAAACTTAAATGAGAGTGGAATTTATTTCCCTAACTTTTGAAATTTAAACATGCTTCTTTTATGGAAATCTTTCATGACTTGGCCTAGTTTAGTTTGGTATGATGTTCTGAGTGAATGCATGATTAGTTTTCTAATATTTGGATGTGTATGTTTCACTGAGTGTAAATATAACAAACTTACATGCTTCCTCTAAGAATTTTTCTGTCATGGTTTCTTCATTTTCTTCTTTACATGTCTTCACAGCAACAGGATGAACTTCTGAATCCTATAAAACAGCCATTTATCATATTTGATCCATTATACAATATTTGTCTTATTTTTTCATTTCGTTACATTTCAAAAGTTTTAAAACTTATCAAAATGAATCAAGACTATCATTTACCATCAACACGTCTCACCCTTCTTGAATTTCATTTTTTGCAGGTAGCTAAGTTTAAATAGTGACATTACAAAATGGTACAAAACTTGTACCATTTGTCTCACATAGTTAAAAAAACAAACCTTACATAAATATATATCAACACAAAAGGTTTTTGTGATCATTTACATGCTGACAAGAAATTATTTTTGGGTCTGCTTATGTTCTATTGTCTATGTTAATTTGCCAAAATTTTCTTTATACGATATTTGCAAAAATCTTACAAATTTTCCATATAACATGACTTTGATGATTTCACAGTTAAATATCCTCATCAATCTACTGTTTATGTTAACATTAACAGTAAGCCATTATTCCAATGTATGAGTAGAAAGATATAATACAATTTTCATTTTCCTCTAATTCACAAGGCTAAATAAGCCTAAACGTGTACCTTTTCCCTTCAATGTCAGAAAAAGAATGTGTTAGCAAATGACAATATTATTTTGTTTTTCTGCATATAACAAGTATATAATTTTCACTACTTTTATTTATGGAAAACAGAGATAAATCGAGTATGTTCACAAGAAAACAGACATACTTGCAAATCACCAAATATGAAAGAAAGTGTTTTATTGATGGTTGTCCATATATTTACCTTATCTGTCCATGCACCTTTATACACATCACCAAACTGTCCTTCTCCTAAAACTTCATATAACTGTACATGATCTCTTCTTAATTCATAGTCCTTGGCTGCAAATAATACGCAAATATAATAATCATTTCAATTATGCATGAACATTCATACATTAACCATCTAAATACAAAACGGTAAATCATATATTTACAACATGGATACCACATTTGAAATATTCAATTAAATTTCTTACAAAAAATGCATAAACAAACTATCCACAAACTACACAATTATACATCTCAGTAGCACTCTTGAAAACAAGTGTTCTGACACAGATCTCGGAATACGATTTGACAAAAAACTCTGTTCTTTTAAATAATTATTAGTCATTAATGCATCATGCATAGCCATCGCTTTATAAAGCTACATGCATCTCAAAGTCAATATATTTCACTATACTCTTATCTATCAAATAGCCATGAAAAAGAGAGAGTTCATTTATGATATGTGGGAACTTATACAACTTGGATGTTGTTTAAAGTAGAAAATTAATGACTTTTCTGTGAATATGGAATACAACAAATATTTAGATATTTCTATATATCAAATTAATAGAGTGAAATTTCTCAAATAAAATGAATGCTTAGTAATCTGGAAGAGAAAATGTACAAAGATCAGTAGATACTGAAAATTACTGCAAGAAAATGCACAAGGCAGTGCACTCAAGACATGCATTTCTCATTCCAGAAACTTTACTGCTAGCAAAACACAAAATGCTGGATGTCTGACAAAAACTAAATCAACTTAACAAGACGACAAGGAAAGGCAAGATAGTATACATATATCTAAGATAAACCCGGAAAAAAATTCTGACTGAATTCTAAAGTTTTCTGAAATTGGTCTATGGAATTTATATTAGTAATCTCATATATCTCCCTTATACAAATTTAGTGACGAGAGTTATGGAGCATGCATCCTCCCATAATGCATTGTAACTCACACTTCCGCTTCCTTCGTCTGCTGCCACCTTCGCCTAAGTGATTATATGTATTTCATGTGTTAAACAACTTTTTAAACTGTGTCCTTTAAAACAATAGAAAGGCCACTTTTTATATTTTACCATTTAAATAATTTTCTTTTTAAATGTTATTTGTTTCTGTATTAAAATATGATGATAACTGATCAAATCTGAATGAATGAAAAAATGAAAAATAGAATGGTCTTTAACATTATTAAATTGTGATTTTATTCTTTTATTTTTCAGCATTTCTTCTTGAAAAATTAATATTACATCTGAGTATATAACCATGACTGATAAAAAAGCTTAATTTTTATTTTTCATATATTATAAAGTATTTGCAAATAATTTATCATAATAATGGTCCTTCCTTAATAAAATTGTAAAGTCAACTATTTAAATCTTGTGGAGGATTTCCATTGGATAATCTCCTCTAACCTGTGACAACAATAACTTACTCATAGGAGTACTGTAGTCCCCTTCTTCTTCCACAATCTCAGCATAGTCAGAAGTACATCCTGTAGAGCATATAATGTCGATTATACAGTCAGAAAAATATCAAATGTACTTGTGCACCCTGACAGTAGTGATATTAAGTGTTAGTTTTTTCTAAAACAATCTATAAAATTTACACTATTACATTAAAGAAAAAATTTGTTTGTCTCATACTGCATATTCTTGCTCAGAAGAGAAAAAAAAAATGGAAATTTTAACAAAGTAAATTTTTAATAATAAATATATATGCCAAGAAAGTCTATGCAAAACTGCAAAGTGACAAAAAATATATGTTATACAAGTGATGTATTGATACTGTGATTTATATATGTAAATGGGTTCAAGTTTTTGAACCATGTGACATTATATAATTAATGTGACCATCAACAGAGCATGTGGCTAACTATCATGGTCATATAAATGGTGCTATCAGTTATAAATTATGTGACTTAATTCATAAAAAAATGTGACCATCAAAAGATCATGGGACTTACTATCATGGCCATTCCTGTGTTCTGATTTACCATAACTATCTAATCTTCTGGCTCTAAAACACAAAAAATAATAGTGATAATACTCTTTACACTATAATCAATGAGGGTGGTAAAGGGGGTGCTTGAACGGAAAAAACATGAAATAAGACATAATTTCACGTTGAACGTGAAATAATTTCTGTCATGAACGTTGCACGAAAAATAAAGACTGTTGTGAACCTTTTGTGACTGAGTCACTGTATTCTTGTATATATTAACTCTCTGTTTTACTTGTTATTCCCGATTTAGTATACACATTTATGATGTAAATGGTTTACGGCTTTTAAAAAAGTATTTCTTGACGATCCCTGCCAAGTATTTGAATACACCTTATCGCTATTCTCGCTTGACCCGAGAATCTGTCCGGCTTGAACTTTTGACGTCATACAACAATCACTTTTCCATTGTGGCGTCAGATATTTTCTATTATGACGTCAAAATTTTTACGGGAACTTTTGTGATGTCCAGTAATGGCGGACAAATAGCGATAAGGTGTATTTTATTTGAAAAATACCGAGCACGCAAAATAAGCATTTGAAAATCACGATGCACGTAAAATTAAATAAGCAGAACACGTTGAACGAGGCACCTGTTTTGCACGACTGAACGTTAAATAAAAAAGTAAAAACATGTTGAACGTGAAATAAAAAACGGTGATCACGTTGCACGAAAATAACCCTTTACCACCCTCATCAATGTAAAATGGACCTGTTAATTTCATTGTCAAATGAGTATAATTCAATCTGACTACTTTTATAGGTAAAACAAGACATCAACATCAAACTTTTTTGTCCATTGGACCAAAAAGGATAATTTCATGTCAAATTTTGAAATTACAACCTAGCAGTTGGCCACAATAAAACAAAATATCATTACAATATGTAGAACTTTTGTTCTACTTGCCTTCCAGACAAAATAAAAACAAATTCAAACACTGACCATTTTTCAAAAATGTTATACCTTTTTATAAATTAAAGATTTTTTAGCAAATTTGGTTTATTTAAAGAAGTCTATCCTGATACTATTTTTACTTTTCTACTGTTCTGATCTTACCTTGACTTCGGAGTTCTTGGTATTTTCTCATCTGGAAAATAAAGAAAGGAAATATCCTCCAACATTTTTCCTCTATTCTCATATATCTAATTAAATGTTCTTTTCAATATTACTTTTCAATTACTATTTTGCTTAAAATGTAATATTAATTGAAATCAAGCTTAAAGCAAACTGAAAACCCAAACAATAAAGAAGCAGTAATGCATCAATTTCTGAAACATGGAAATAAATTCAAGTCCTAGATGACACAACTAGAGACCATAAAGAAAATGGTGGATCTTACATATATAAAACTATATAATACTAAAGTTATGAAATGGTCAGGTTATTTTTTAAGAAAAAGTTGTATCACATCTGCAATGCATCATTTATCAAAATATCTTTTTTCTTTTCTTGCAGGCTTATTCATTAAGTGCTGAAATTGATACAATTTATAAACATGTCTGTACACAATTGATGTTACCTAACAGTAGATGTTTTATTAACTTTATCATGGATAATATGTAGGCTCTGTAGATAAAATGGTGAGTATTAAAACTGGTGTTGGGAACTTTAACATCTGTAAGGAAAACTTAAAATGAATATAGGGTCAAGTGGGGATGGGGTGTATGGTGCACATATATCATCATGGGAGAACAAACTTGGTGAACAGTGCATTGGTTGTCAAGGTAACAATAGTCTGTGAAGAAATACACTACAACTAATGACACAGAAACTGAAATCTTTGTCATCAAATGTAAACAACAACAAAAATAACAAATAATTAACAAAACAATTTCATGACATAAATAAAACCTTAAAGAATCCAGTTTCAGTGCCATTATAAATCTATCATTAAATATTTGTCCTACTAAATTTGTACTGAATTTTTTAATAAAAAAATCATGCATTATTACTGATATTGGATAACTAGGCCAACACCAAATAGATAATTTTGTGTATTGGAGTATACTCATCACAGACAGTGAACAAAAATCTGTCATGCATAACCAACCTTTTCGACTTGGTTTTGTGTCATTCAGTGGGACCCATTCTATGCCAGCTTGATAAAGAATTAGATACCATGTTAAAAGGTCTATGTGTATTAGTGTTTTTTTAAAATAAATATAGAGAATTTTCTGCCATATCTCTGAATAAATAGAACTTGAGTTTTAAATATTTGAACAATGAAATCTGTCTCAACTGAACCTTCAAAATTGGACACTGTAATTTTCTTCATTATTTACCTGTGTAAACAAAACATTTTTCTATTACCAACAAAATCCTGTGTCCTAAAAGGGGATAATTTTGATGTTTTTTATAAAGCATCTCTTTCTCAATAAAATAAGTGAATTTTTTTTATACTGTTTTTATCTAAAGCATAATAAACTGCTTCGCCGAGCGCAGCTGGATACGACCCCAGAGGTCCAACCCTGTACAGTTGGGGCAAAAATGGAAACAATATTCAAGCTTGATACAGGTCTGAATTTGGATTGTAATTAAATATTTGACACATTATAGGTTTCTGACACAGAATAAATGTAGTAAAAGAACTTGAAATTGGTTGTATGATTTGAATTTATATTCAATTGAAGATTTCTTGATGTTGTGCAATACACTGTGCTGTTGCTCAATACTTAGTAAATCTGTTTTCAGACTATATACAAAGAATAAGCAAAATAAATTGTGACCCCTAATTTTTTTCTTTGTAAAATTGACAATTTCTTAAATCTTGAGGGAAAAAAAATTGACACCCCCCCCCCAAAAAAAATTTTTTTGTTTAACCCCCCCCCCCCCAAAAAAAAAAAATAATATTTGAAGAGAATTTTCTTTTGAGGAAAAAAAATTGCCCATCCCCCCCCCCAAAAAAAAATTTTTTTACCCCCCTCTTTTTGTAAAATGTGGTACAAATTAAGAGACATCCATACACATAAACACAAGTTATTGTCTGAAAACTAGAAAAATGCTTGATTTAGACCCTTATTGGCCCTTAATTCCTGAACGGTTTGGGCAATTACCCCCAAAATGAATCCCAACCTTCTACTTGTGGTATTGAACCATGTGGTACAATTTCAGAGCAATCAAAATACTTATACACAAGTAGTTATTGTCCTGAAACTAGAAAAATGCTTGTTTTGGCCCCTTTTTCCTAAACGATTGGGACCATCACCCCCAAAAACAATCCTAACCCTCCTTTTGTGGTATTGAACCTTTTGCTTAAATTTCATAGAGATCCATACACTTAAACTAAAGTTATTGTCCAAAAACCAAATGTCTTCGGACAACACTGACGCCGACGACGACAACAACGTGATACCGATATACGACTGCAAAAATTTTTTGAGGTCGTATAAAAATTTGTAAAACAATTGTGTTCACTAATTCTGGTTTTATGAAGTTTAGGGTTTAAAATTTTCATTCTCGAGATAACTTCTCAAAGATTTGAAATACTAGAAAAAAACCTCTGTGTAGTCAATTATTTTTTTTAATACTCGTTTTTTAGTAACAGGAAAACTCAAGATGATTTACATAAATACATGGTTAAAAATGAATAATCTAAACTATACAATAGGGTCTTAACAGGTTTTCACAAATTAAAATATCTAAATCTTGATTCAGATTCTAAAAAGTAATTTCTATTTTATGAGATTTAATTCTAGGGTAAACTACCTTTTCTGCTCCATACTGAAGTACTGATGTCATGTACTAAACGACAATAGCCATCAATTAAGTCTGCCATATCCTCCGCCTCGTCAACAGAGGAACACGTTATTGTAAGTGGTTCTGTGGCTCCTGCCACTTTTATTTGTAGAAGTCCTTTGTTTTCTGACACTGAAGTCTGTATGGATTGAACTTGGTTGAAGTCAGCCATGTGTGTTGGCTGTAAAAAAATTCAAACAATCTGTATTAAATATAATCTTAATTCTTAAAGACGAAGGAAACATAGACATGATCTTAGATGAGTGATTTTGTATTCAAAATTACGTTTCAAGAAACTTTTGAACAAAATACTTGTTGAATTGTCACTTTTTGCTGCATTTCTTATGTATATCAATTTGAAAAAAAAAAATGAAAATTTGATAATAAAAATAATATGGTTTAAAGCATTTGAATTATTTTGAATTTATAATTTACAGAATACATACAGATGAAGCTTTTTCTGTAAGGTAACTTATTCCAACATCAGGTCCTATAACTAGTTCCATGGATATACTCCAACCAGATGACTAAAAGTATAAACATTCACTATTCAATTAACAAAAACAAAGCATATAGAAAATAGAACATATGTTTGTTGAAGATGTAATTTTGAATATGATCTATAATGTTTGAATGTTGTATCTGATTCTGATACTTTGTTTTAAATAAAGTAGATACTTTTCCTTATAAAGACAACAAATTAGTATTATATCAAGGTTTAATTCCTATACATATGTACAATTTAATAGCTGTTACTTTAACCAGTGAATGAAACACAGGCTTAAAACAAGTAAGAGAATCTCTATAACATATTATCAATAAATGCACCCCTGAATCTTTCTACTCTTTTGTACTTACCCCTAATGCACCCCTGAATCTTTTTATTCTTTTGTACTTAGCCTGAATACATCCCCAATTCTTTTAACTCTTTTGTACTTAGCCTGAATGCACCCTGATTCTTTTTACTCTTTTGTACTTAGCCCAAATGCACCCTGATTCTTTTAACTCATTTGTACTCACCCCTAATGCACATCTGAATCTTTCTTGTTCAAATTTACACACAGTTTTCAATGTATCAAAAAATTTATATACACATTCATGTTCAGCAAACTGAGCATACTGTTTAAAATGGAGTTGTATCAACTTTCGTAATGTTTTGGACTGAAAAGAAAGAAAAAAAAAACATTGTATAAACAAGAGAACATAATGTAGCATATACTAATGAACCAATAAAGCTAACTCCTTGGTGAAGTGGTGAACTAAGCATTTATAACAACAATAGAGTATAATTCTAAACCTTGTTTTGTATTTTTAAATTGAAAGTCAGCATCAATATGGTATATAATTGTAACAGATGTTTACATGTTTAAACCATTGTACACTTTCACATTGCCAACCATCTCTTTTGGTGTGATGTTTAGTGACTTTTTTTTTTACATCTGATGTTGTTCTGAATATACATGAAATATTTGCCATTGCATGCTAAATAATCAACAATCAACCTTCATATCCTCTTTTATTCATACTTTGAAATACTTCATACATACATGTTTTAAAAACTACAACATACTAACATATATTTTAAAAACAATAAAATCAAATGTTCACTTTGCATATTTTGACTAAACAATATTCTTTAGCTTAATTTCCACTTATTTTACAATATCTGCACCTTAAATAGTAACAACAAGTGAATCTGTGAGCTTCTGGTCACTAATGATACCCCTGCCCCGCTAAAAGTATAAGGTAAACAGGAAGTTGTTGAGTGATGAATCTGAAAACGCATCACACGGTATAGCAGACTCATATAAACCCTGAAACCAAATTTCAGAAATTCTTGTAATGTAGTTCCTGAGAAAGATGCGACGAAAAATATTCATGGGACGGACAGACGGACTGACGGATGGATGGACGGACAGACAGAGGTAAAACAGTATACCCCCACTTTTTTAAAGCGGGGGTATAAAAAGGTTGGTTTTTCCTTCATATTTACTATGAAGCAAATTAAAGCAGTATTGAATTAATATTCTGATGATTACAGGACTATGTATAGCTTAATGGATTTGACCAATAAAAAGTTTGTTTAGAGTTTCCTTCCAAAAAATATAGGGTTGGTAGGTCAGATTTTTTTGGGTCACAATCCAGAAATAAATGTGGATTGTGTCCACATGTGGACACAGATGATGCACCCGCTTGCATATCATATAGTTATAAAGGGACATAACTGAAGAACGGTAAAAGTGACGCTACCCAAATTTGAACTTGATCTGAGTTTTGTGGTAATAAGCATTGTGTTTAAGTCTCATAACATTTGGTTGAGGCAAACTTAAGTTAGAGAACGGAAACTAAAAATTTGCAATTTTTCCATTTATAAAGGCGCATTACTCTAGAACGGTTTGAGTGATGCCACCAAAATTCAAACTTGATCATTGTTTTGTGGTAATAAGCATTGTGTATAAGTTTCATAACATTTGGTTGAGGCAAACTTAAGTTAGAGAACGGAAACTAAAAGTTTTGCAATTTTTCCATTTATAAAGGGGCATTACTCTAGAACGGTTTGAGTGACGCCACCAAAATTCACTCTTGATCTGTATTTTGTGGTAATAAGCATTGTGTATAAGTTTCATAACATTTGGTTGAGCAAACTCAAATTAGAGAACGGAAACTAAAACTTTTGCAATTTTTTCATTTATAAAGGGGCATAACTCTAGACTGGTTCGAGTGACGCTACCAAAATTCAAACTTAATCTGTATTTAGTAGTAATAAGCATTGTGTGTAAGTTTCATAACATTTGGTTGAGGCAAACTTAAGTTAGAGAACAGAAACTAAAAATTTTGCAATTTTTCCATTTATAAAGGGACATAACTCTATATTGGTTTAAGTGACGCCACCAAAATTCAAACTTGATCTGTGTTTTGTGGTAATAAGCATTGTGTATAAGTTTCATAACATTTGGTTGAGGCAAACTCAAGTTAGAGAACGGAAACCAATTTTGGGACGTACAGACAGACAAGGGTAAAACTTAATGCCCCCTCCGCTACAGCAGGGGCATAAAATATCAAAATTTTCCCACAGTCCGATTCTGTATTATACTTAAATCTTTGCTCAAACTTCTGCCATTTCAATATGTCAATGAACAATGTGAGGATGCTTAACATATTTTGTTCTGTTACATATTTTTATGAAATATGTTAGCTGCCGCTATAACTGATAGATTGGTCAACAGTTTTTTACTAAATCCTCATCAAAATGTTAGGGTAGTGCTTAAAATGAGGGTTAGTGCTTAAAATGAGGGTTAGGGCTTAAAATGAGGGTTAGCAGGAAACCCTGGTCATACATCGATTCTCAGCAATGCAATTACCCTGCTGTAATCACCTTTGTGGAATTTATCACCAATCACAATGAACATCATTTATACAGGTATTAAAATAAGTTGACAGAAGGGGATAAGGGGATAAGGAGTATTTAATTAAAATAATTTGTAGAATTTACCAAAAAGGGGGTAGAAACTGTTGCTATCAAAATAAATTTACCTGGGTAAGGAATCAATTTAATGGAAATAATTTCATCTTAGTAGAATTTACCCACATTGGGGGAGAATTGTTTTCAACAGAATAATTTTACCCAGATGGAAAAGGAATCAGGAACATAGACCATGTGATGACAGTTGTTTTCTATTCTCTACTTGGTTCATATAGTCTAAGGTTTGATTTGTCAGGTTTTATGGAATTCCCACCTTTTTAAATTTACCTTGAAGCTCGGTTTTTTGTTAATACTTTTTTAATCAAAATAGTTTTACCTTTGTAGAATCTATCACAGATCGGGGTAGGAAACGTTTTAATCCAACCTCTTTTTCTAAATATTCAAAGTTGGACTTCTTATCTATGGCAACTTGTGGCATGTCTTTAAAGAATCGCCTGAAATAAAACAACAGTATGATTAATAACTGTTATCCCCATATTTTGCCCACAGATAGTACAGTTGTTTTCTACCAATGACCATACATTACTTACATATTACTGAACTGATTGAACTTACAGATATATTGATAATTATTCTTTTTACATAGTTTAGTACACCGTGTATCATTTAACAAAAGGCTGTTCAAGTTTATAGTAAAAGTGGTAAGCTTGTAGTCCCCTCTTAAAACCTTTTCCAAAACAAGCAAATGTAAAAAGATGAGTTGACCATAATCAATATCTCAACTTAGTAACAGTGTAGGATAAGTAGATGTAGGGAGAATTATCTATTATTACTGGAAAATTAACATTGATGCTCTCTATAAAATGAATTTATAATATATATGTCTACAGTTCCAATATAAACAAATAAACACAAATTTTAAACATAATATTTTTGGGAGTTTAGTTTATTATTGGTATGAAGACAAGGGCTGTTGACTATTACCTCATTTCTATGCATCCTAGTCTTATGGCAACTTCTTGATCTATAGTCTCTGCTATATCACGCATATAGTCATTCCTTATCTGCAAAACAAATTATTTAACTGTAAGAATATCGTTTTTCTTTGTGTCACTGTAAAGTATATCTTATGTGTTCTTTTTTTCTGGTTTTTGTTAATTTTTGGAGAGGAGGCTTTTGATTTAGCTGGTGTGTCATCAAATATGATATGATATTCAATTTTATTATACTGACAAATTACTCATACCATAACATAAGACTTTATTTATAACTCAGACACACCATCATAATCATAACAATGTTTCATCCGATCGGAATGATGGTTGAAGTGTACATAAAATCATATGAAAATAAATTTACAATGTTCTAACTGTTTATTTATTAACAGGGATAAGTTTGTCATCACTTTAATATTGTACAATAAAAGCAGCCCTTTTATTTTTTCAATGCTTGTATTTTTACAGTAATATTCGGGGATGTACTAAGTTTGTATGTTTTGCACAATGAATTTCATTTCAAACATTAGTGAAGCAAATAAGTCAGAGACCAAAGCAATAGTTACCTGATCATATAAATAGAAAAATGTTACTTTATCTCGCTGGAATAATTCTTGGAAATTCTTTGGTAAAAATCTAACTCTCAGTTCATACCTGAAAAATTCATATAAATATATATAATGCATGTATTAAACTTTTCAAATGCACCTTGCTAATATAAACCTTTGATATAAATTTTATAAAAATCTTACAAGAAATGATGACTTGAGAGCACGACAATGCAATTTCCCATACAATGTACATTTCCAAGGGGTATTACTACTGTAAAATGATTGATCATCCCTGATTTTTAAACCCTTCCATGACATTGCTGACATTGATATAAGAATTCTACAAGCAATGTAGGCTTGAGAGCGCTTACAATGAAATTATCAATATAATTCATATTTTCAAGAGGCATAACTCCTTTAAGAGTAGTTGATCAGCACTGATTTTGGAACTTGCCCTAGACATTTCTGATACAAACCTTTGATTGATTGATTGTCAGTGTTTAATGGCACTTTCAGCACTATTGGCTATTTCGTGGCAGTCAGTTTTTATTGGTGGAGGAAGCAGGAGTGCTCAGACAAAACCATGACCTTTGTCAGGAAAACTAACAATCCTAGTAAATTAAGATTAGAGTCAAATGCACCTGCCACATGCAATGTCTGATTGATTGATTGGTGTTTAACCCTAATTTCAGCCTTACTGTGCTATTTTGTGGCGGTCAGATTTATGGGTGGAGGAAGCCAGAGTCCCCAGCATCATCATGTGGCGAGGTATAACATATTTATTTCTTCTTTTATTTCTTAAATTACCGGTAGTAGAACTGAATGCTTAGGATATCACAATCACAATTGTATGCTCTGTTTCATTTTTCAATAATAATGAAGAGGCAATTCCAAATATCCATCTCTATTTGTGTGAGGAAAATTTGTAATAAATTTATCTCCTTTTAGTACTTTTACAACTATTCATCTATAATATTGTCATACTAATTTAGTATCATTTTAGGATGTTTTTAGGTGCATTCACATTTATATTAGACTATTGTTTCATTGACATATATAACATTTGTGTACTTTTTATTCTAGTGCTTTGTACAATTATACTAGAATAACAAAAGGGGAAATCTATACCTCTATCTTCAATGTAGCTGCTAATTTTTTGTAGCACTTTGTATACTGATGAATTATGACGTGACCAGTTATATTATTTATCTCAATAGTTACCTCCATTCCTCAGGTGGATGTGAAGATTCATATTTTTGTCGTACTTGGTACATGGATAAATTATTATGTAGCCAGTAAGATTTTCGGGTAATAATATGTACAAGTTTTAATGCGTAGCACTTTGAAAAATATCTTTCGCCTGCAGCCAAACGGCCAACAACCAATTGAATGATGTCCTGAAAAAAGAAAATAGGTACGATTACAGAACTTTTTGGATACATATTCAAAAATGTTCTCTACAAAAAGGTTGGTACTACTGATTGTGCATTATCTATCAGTCCCACTAGCCAATGCATCAGTATTAACTTGATTTAAATGATAAATTTTGTCTGTAAATTTCAAGTGAGGCCTATGAATTTATTTTACTACAACTGAGTATGTATCGCTGCTGGTGGACTCCTAGGATACCAAGAAACCAGACCTCTTCCATACTAGAATGATATATTTTATAAATTTTCAGTTCTTTAAAGGATTTATTTCTTCTTCAAGTAAACTTGCAGTTTCTCAGTCAAATTTAGCCTTTCCATTTTGGTCCTTTTTGATTTTTATGCTCTCCAACTTTTGAATACGAGATTATTTGATGAAGATAATTCTGAAAACATGTGTTGTAGTGAACGGTGACTGAATCGAAATCAATAAATTACTTTTTACTACAGCTCATTCATCACTGCTACTGACAGACAATCAGTCCCCAAGGGTATAACAAGCCTCTAGGATAGTGCTTTAGTACTGCTGCTGATGAATAATCAGTACTAGAGGGTACTATTAGACAAGCTGCTGATGAATAATCAGTACTAGAGGGTACTATTAGCCAAGCTGCTGATGAATAATCAGTACTAGAGGGTACTATTAGCCAAGCTGCTGATGAATAATCAGTACTAGAGTGTTCTATTAGCCAAGCTGCTGATGAATAATCAGTACTAGAGGTTACTATTAGCCAAGCTGCTGATGAATAATCAGTACTAGAGTGTTCTATTAGCCAAGCTGCTGATGAATAATCAGTACTAGAGGGTACTATTAGCCAAGCTGCTGATGAATAATCAGTACTGGAGGGTACTATTAGCCAAGCTGCTGATGAATAATCAGTACTGGAGGGTACTATTAGCCAAGCTGCTGATGAATAATCAGTACTAGAGGGTACTATTAGCCAAGCTGCTGATGAATAATCAGTACTAAAGGGTTCTTTTAGCCAAGCTGCTGATGAATAATCAGTACTAGTGGGTACTATTAGCCAAGCTGCTGATGAATAATCAGTACTAGAGGGTACTATTAGCCAAGCTGCAGATGAATAATCAGTACTAGAGGGTACTATTAGCCAACTTCATCAGTAAAGTTGGCCTTGGATTGTTTTTGGTTTTCCCTTTTATATTTAATGCTCTCAAACATTTTATATTTTTGGCTGTCCAAACTTTAAGGTCTTGGGTGTACATGATGAAGTCTATTCCATAAACACTTGTCTACATGGAAATCAAATCATACATATTTTGCAATGATTCAAGAGATCTTTCTAGTTCAGTAAACAATGAAAACTTTGTTAAAAACCATAATATGCCCGGTATATTAAAGTTCACTTAATAATGAACATGTGAACTCAGTTTCAATTTCTCTGATCAGTGAACTGTGAAATCTAGGTCAAAAATATAATTTGACTACAGTAATTAACAAGTGAAACTGCAAGCTACTGCTCACTGATGATACCCCCGCTAAAATATGGATAATTTTAATAGTGTAAAAATATGTAAGTGTTCGGTTAACGGGAAGTTGTTGAGTGATGAATCTGAAAATGCATCACATGGTATAGCTAACTCATATAAACCCTGAAACCAAGTTTCAGAAATCCTTGTATTGTAGTTACTGAGAAAAATGTGACGAAAATTTTCAACTACTAGGATGTCATGTGTAAAATGATGTAAGTGTTCGTTAAACAGGAAGTTGTTGAGTGATGAATCTGAAAACGCATCACACGGTATAGCTGACTTATATTAACCCTGAAACCAAATTTCAGAAATCCTTATGATGTAGTTCCTGAGAAAGATGCTACAAAAAATATTCATGGGACGGACGGACGGACAGACAGAGATAAAACAGTATACCACACTTTTTTAAAGCAGTTTTAAAGTGGGGGTATAAAAACCTCCCAATAATTTCTGAATTTACAATATTACTGGTGCTCCAGTAGGATACCAATTTAGGTCACAAGGTCATGTTTAAAAATTGCCACAGGTCACCAAGTTACTTTTAAGCAAACTATACATCTCTAAACTGATTTGATTCTCTGTTTGGAACATATTAAAGGTCACAGGTCCTTTTAAATGAGATATCATGTCGCAAGGTCGCCAACCAAACCACCCAAGGAAGCAGGTCAGATTTTACCATGTTGGAGCCACATTACTTATAGTAACATAGAAACTGACCAAATCTTGAAAAGTTCACCCAAAAAATTAGGTCAAGGACAACTGACATATTTAAGACTAAAACTTCCGACATAAATATATACCCGATATAGATTCTGTCGATTTTCTACCTGCTGTAATATTGAACTTTATACCAATGTTTAACATCCTTGTCATTCCCTGCAGGATTAGAATGAATGTGTATTTCTGTCTTTATTTATAGCAACCCAAGTAGGCATGACAAATATAAGTTTTACTTACTTTGACATCAGTGGCATCACCATATTTGACCATATTAAATCCTCCATTTGGGAGGTGAACTTTCAAAATTGATCTATCCATCAGGAATTTTTTAACTTTTTGATCAAATTGATTATCACTGTGTTCCCCAAGTGGGTCAATCACAAGATCCGAGCATGCTTCACATTCACCATCTTGTATTAACTTCCATAAACGACTCCATCGTGCAATCTGAAAAAAACAAAACAAACTCAATAAAAAACAAGAACAAGATAAAGTCATGGGTAATTAAGAAACAGACTACTGCTATTTCACACATCTAAAAACGTCTTTTATCTTTAGGTTTGTTAGTAATATATCAAAACCAAACATTTTAATCGATGAAAAAGAAAGATTTGAAATATTTCTAAAATCTAAGGCATTCAAATCAACTTTTTAACTATGACTGAACAAATTTTTCTACATAAATCTATAGCATTTAAAATTTACTTGTTAACTGTGGTTGAATAAATTTTTATTACCTACACAGGTCATTAAACCTATCCCGTGTTTCTATATACATGTACAACTATAATACAGTTAATTAGCAGCCATTTATTTCAAATCTGATGTCCATAGAAGATAATAACAATATATTCAGTACAGGATATGTGTATTATTTGTACTTACTTAATCATATTTTAAGTATCCAATTTAAATTTCATTTTCATATTAAAACTACCATTAATGTCATGAATGGTCTGGTAGTAAACAAACATTGTACTACTAGGTAAAAACTCCTATCCTACTAACACAGTAAGAACACTACATGTAAATGATTAATCTGTTCCTTTAGGACATCACTACAAAATATACACCTGTTGAATACCACTGCTATCTTCATAGTTGACCAACAATACTGTCCCTCCCAATGTTCTAAAAATGTAAGTGGAAAAGGATTTATATAGCCCCTTGGGACATATAAATAACGATTAACAGGGGGAGGGGGGTAATCGTTATTTATATGTTGTTGGTCTCATATTCCATCAATATCTTCCTATGTGACACACAATTCATGCTGAATGTGAAATCCCTACCTCTATATCTGTATGTGGAAATTAAAAGGGTGAATCAACCCCCTGTCTACGCACCAGGTCTTGCTCCTTTTGGAGTTCATGTTATTCCATCCGTTTTTGTTACCCTTAATTTGTATTTTCTTTATACATTTATGAGATTGAAACATAAGTAAACTATTGTTGAATGAATTTGAGATGGTTCCCATTTTAAATTAACAATTTGGGGGTCCTTTATTGGAAATAAAGAACTCAAAACCCTTAAAGCATGTATAGCATGATGTCAAACTCATTTTCTATCATCTTTTCTTAACATTCAATGCATCACCATCCATGAAAATTTACTGCTTGACATATGACTTTTTGGGGTAGTACTTTTTAACTTTTGACCTTTCCACTTTTCAGATATATAGAGAAATTATTAGGGACATGACCTGTCACTTACATGTAATACATGTGTCAAACTGCCTTTTTTTTTATACATATACTGTTATTTTGATATAGGTTTTATTCAACAGCTTGCTATTAGATTTGGTAGCCTGTATATTATGACAGTGATGTTTTCCATTTAAATAAGTTAAACCATTTGGACCAGATATTTTTTTACATCAATAAAGCCATATATTAATTTCACAATTGTACTTTGTTTTTCTAATTTTAAAGTGAGGTAAACACTGTCTATAACTTTTTCCTTCCCAGAAGAACTAACAAGTTGTGTTCCCTTTTAAATTTTTACCTGATAAGTATTTTCTGTTTATCTGTATGGTTTGTATGGAACTGTAGGTACATGTGACCATGGTAAAAAAGTGACTTGTACAAAATTATGAAAAGTCCCTTTAAAAGTTTGAATACTTTCAATGAATTGAGATACCCAGTTTATAATCTGGTTACCAGCATGGAAGAAACAAGGTGTTAAATAGGTGAAGATCATGATATAGTGTATTATCTAGCAGACTTCTGAAGTAGGGTTTACAATGATCATTTAACATTTTCAATTTATTTGTTCATACAAATTTTGCATTCTAAGATCTTTCTAAGCCTCTTTCTGGATTTCAATAAAACTTTTAAAGTATCTTTAGAACCTGAACATACTGCATGTATCTCATTCTTTCTCATCATGATTTTTGGGTTTTCATCTCTCAGATTGCCATATATACAAATATGGCTAGGCATCTTTTATCTGCAACTCCTCAACCACTCACAGAATTTCAAAAAAAAAGTCAATGGAAACTTTGGTACTCTATAAGGATGTATTATTTTCGTCTGAAATATCGTTGTGTTTTCCCCATAGTAAACATGAATCTTGAGGTATATTTATAAAACAATGGGGTCATCTTTTTTTATGCCATCATTGGTATGTTAGGGTATTGGGAGTAGACATGTTCTATTGAAAATTCTCTTAATCTTCAGCTATTACTACTAAAAGGTGTGGCAACATCTTTCATTTTATATCATATAATTAGTTATCTAAATTTCATATCGTGAGATGCAATCAATTTAAAGTATTTCAAGTATAAATTCATTAAAAACCTAACAGATCCCAGATCTGATGAAACAGTGAAATTGTTGAAATTGATAAAAGGCTTGTTAATCTAGAATCCACCCATCCAGATGTAAAAATTAGTTCTGTGCATGTGTATTGCATGTTCTTATACATCTATGATATATCATATGAATTAACAATTACATAACATACACTCAGCTGTTTAAAATTAACCACATATTTTACATTTTATTTCTTAAAAAAAATTAACAAAAGTTTTAAGCTGATATCTTGTCTGATCATGCTGATCAAAGCTGAATAAACTTTATCCCTATAGTAAAGTCAATATACCAGTTATTATAGTAGTCTTACAGCCTGAACTGTGCAACTGAACCTTTTGAAACTGTCATTTTTTTTCAAGGGGCATAACTCTAATGAAAATGTCAAACCAACTGGTATTCCATTTGTTATTCTGTGGTTCAGTATTTTGATCCAATTTTGATACAAAAAAACTGACTACAACAAGATCAAAGCCTAAGCTGTTTATGATTTCCTGTCTAATTACATGACCTTCAAAACAATTACCAATTTTTTATTTTATAAAACTCAAGTGGTATTCTACTTAAAATGTTTATAAAATGAGTGAAGTTGATTACTCACAATAAACTATGTGGATAATAGTTAGCTTCTGTTTTCTCAATGTCAGTAATAATAGCCACTGACCGAACAACAATTATAATGATTCAGAGGATACACACAAAAATTACCACAGTTATTTGATGAATTAGTAAAAGTAACTTAATTAGTAAATAGAAATAAGCACAATAATTGATGAAGTAAAAATACACCTTCACATGGCAATTCATCATCTAAATTGTAAGTCAATACATGAAATAAAGACTACAATATTTTTCTCACAAGTCCCTGTCAACAAATTTGTCTAAATGTGATCTGTTTTTTAAAGATGCACCCATTCTTCCCAATTTTTTCAGCACCTTCCAGTGAATTTCTAATTCAGATTTTGCATGTTTATTTTGCTACAGGAAATTAATAGCCGCTCTCTCTCTCTCTTTCTCTCACTTTTCTTTCTCTCTCCCCTTTCTGTCTCTTTCTCTCTCCCCTTTCTGTCTCTTTCTCTCTCTAATTGCAAACACTTCCTTTCAGGTCTATTAAAATTTACCTCAATACTTCTCTCACCTAGGATATTTAACACCTACAATCACTTCATTATACTGTTGTCTGGACTCTTCATTAATAAAAACATTTGACACTCAGGTTTGACATTAAAGTTCAAATTTAGTGATACATTAATCTGAATTTAACTATAACACAATTTGATAGTCATGACATCTACAAGTATTTTAAAATTACTGACACCTAAATGGACACAGAAATACTATCCTGAAACAAAGACAGTAGCTATATAGCCTTCCAGATATATCTTAATTACTTGGCTTAACCCCAGCATCCAGGAGTCTACTATCCCTTTTCTGCAAATGACTCAGCATGAACTGATTCCTATCTTCTGTAGTCATTTTTATACAAAATACAACAGTTTATGTTGTGCATTTAGACCCACATAATAAAATACCCATCTATTTCTATACACAAATTTTGTCTACCCCTAAAATCACTTCAATACCAGTATAACTAACATTTTTTCACACACAAAATCAGAAAAATTGTAATTTCACACATGTGTCTGTGATTACACTAAAGTATTATGTTGTACTATATAATTGACCATTAATAAGCATTCCTTAAGATCTTAAAGGTCAACCTGACAGAGTGACAATAACACTAATAAATCAAAACTTACTTAAAACTGGAAAAATATGAGGAAACATCCCAAACAAAATTATTCTGTACTGTTTATCATTTCACATTCCTACAAATTACATTCCCTCCTAAACAGATAATATGCCCCTCAAAACAACAACAAATAATTTGAAATATGCAGTTACCATGAAAAGAATTATTGATTGTACACAACTGCACTGAAATCAGTGAGGGGTTAAGTATTTTCTATCTTACATCAAACATAAGCTGATAAATATCACTTCTAATCAACCATCATCTCATATTATTAAACAGGTAGAAAATTAAAATCAACCTCCCTCATTCACAACCCACGTTTTTAGACGTGAATCATTTATCCGAGCATTTATCATATACATTAAATAGTAATTGTACAATTCTAATTCTCAATTTAAATTAAATTTTCAGAATTTGATATCATTTTAAAGCTTAAAGTAATTACATAAAAGAGGTCACTCACCCATTTGTCTTGTTTGTATATATCCTAACTTACTGTCAATAAGTAATAATGCATGTGCAACTCATCTGTAACTAAATACGAGGTTCACAAAGGGATATTTAACCTGCCGTTTGTTGTACTTGAGATAATTTTATGGAAATACATAGAGGATTACTATTACACACAAATTATGAATGAATTGTATGAATAATTTGACAAGATATAATGTGTCAGTTGTGTAGGTTTGTAAATTATTTATATCTATTTCCTTTCTTGACAGGTTCAAATTTAGAATATTGTGTTTGACATGATCTAATTAGAAAATAAAATTAGAAAAAAAGACAAACACTTATCTATTTTCAAATATATATTCAAGTTCTGAACAGTGAATACATACTTTCAGCTGAACCTTTATTCACTAAAGAGTCAAGATTCTTAA